AAGTTCCGTATTTCCGTGAGTAAAAAATTTGTTTAAAAAAAAATTAACAGCCAAACGCAGTGTGAGCCATTTGTACAGCTACAATTCCTACGGAACTTCTACGGAATGTCTACGGAATTTCTATGGAACTTCTACGGAATTTCAACGGAACTTCCACGGAACTTCCACGGAATTTCAACGGATCTTTTGTGGAACTTCTACGGAAATGGAACGGAAACTCCGCGGAAACGGAACGGAACGGAAAGAGTGGGAGTAATGTCAGTCACCCACAAATCAGATTTGTCAGATTTGTGAATAATCCGTTTGGAGAAATACAAAAAATTTACATATTTAAATGTTATTGATTATCTTCCGAAATTGTAATTTTTCATCTTTAAATCAGTTAAAATTGATTTTTGTACTTTTGTGATAGCACACAGAACATGGCATACAAAAACAGCATACTAGATCAGTGCGAATTACTTGGAACTAAATTGAATTGACATAGAATTATATTGAATTGAATGGAATTATTTATGTATTAAATGAATTACGTTGTAATAGTAGTTTGCCCCTAGCATACTGTCTAATACATGTGACAGTGGAGAATCCACATTTGATTTCACTTGTGATTTTCCTAATCATTCATTACCTCATCTTGTTGTACAAGTTTGTCTTTATTTTCCCAGGTCATATAGTTTACACCTCGAAGCCGGGCCAAATCTTTGTAGCACTCTGAGTCTTCACAATTGTATCTATTTTTGTTTTAAATAAAAAATAATTAATTTAAAACCTTTTGGAAACACATTTTGAAAGTTGAAATTAAGTGAAGCTTACAATTCAAAAACAGTGGCCCATTTGGGTAAAAATAATAAATGAGTTAGTCCAGCGCCATGCATTCCAATAAAAATATCGGTATTTCGAATGATTTCTAGTTGATCGATAAATGGCGTGGCTCGGTCAAAGCTAACACTTCTCACATCATATGTGCGATTCTTCTTAAGTTCCAAGACCAATTCATCGGAATTTAAAATCTGTCTGAATTTAGTTTTTCGCTCCAAAAATGTAATTCGAATCCTATCGTCGCTCTTGTGATGTAACGGAATATTCAACCGATGAAGCATAAAATCAGAAAAAGCTTGAAAAAGACCACTGTTCTGACATCCATGTATCTTTTTGATGCGTGTGGGTGAAATAGAAAAAAGTGAAAAGTTATTATATGGTTTTAATTACGTCATATCTAATACAAAAAAAACCGGTTATACGTTACAATGGGCGTGTTATAGTATAGTCCGAAAATCATGCGAGGTAACAATGGTAGCATCAGATTTTTAAAGCACACATTTTTGCCGGTCCACGCTTTAATGGTGAATATTGGATTTTGGGTGAATGCTTTGAATGCCGCCGAAAATGGTGTGACATAGCTGTATGTTTCCCATAGAAAGATGTAATTGTCTGTATCGAACGCAGCTGGATGAGTCATATTTACGTGTAGCGACGCATACAAATTGAAAAAATCACAGAAATGATGATACATATTACTATCTGAAATAAAAGTATTGGATCATCCAAAGATAAAGAGTGTTGGAAGGAAAAAAAAAAGTTGTATACGAACTTGCATCTATTTTCATGATATACACCGGTTTCTCATAGACAAAATCACATTTGTTTGTGTCAATTGGTCGTTCATCAAAAGCAACAAAATTACGCAACTCAGGCGCCCACGATTGTAACGCACTCATATGTTCCAATTGGCTCTCGAGAAGTTCTTTATTTAGCTTGCAATAACCACCTGTTTTAATTTTTTTTTTTTTTTTTTTTTTTTAACAAAAAACTTTTTCACAAATTCTTTTTGGTCATAAAATTGGGAATTATCATTAATACCATACCAATTTGTCCCTCTTTTAATATATCCGTTCGATACCGCCATGGTTGTTTTTCTGCTCCCAACTCGGTAAAATTAATCATTATATTTCGTCCCTGACAGAATCGCAAATTCTCAGAACATTGAAGCATTGAATCATTTGGAAAGAGCGGTGTACATAAGACCATCAACTCATTTATTTGATTTCGAACGTAACCTAAAAAGTCAAATCCAAAGTGTTAAATTCAAATATAAAATGATTATTGCTTTCTTTGGAAAATTTACCAAAATCGGCTTGATCGTAAAATGTTTTCACATATTCATCATAAGTTGGAATCCACACGGGTTTGTCTTTTGCACATTTTGGCCGTGAAAATGCATCTGTCGCCAGACAATTTCGCTCATATCCCCAGCATTTGTTATGATTATAATCTTCACTAGTCAATAGGCCCCGATATATACAACTACTATTGCTAAGACACTGTTGAATCACTTGCGGAAAATTATTAAAATAATATGGTAAATGCGAATTGGGCAAATCAACATAATTATAACCATAATCGCCCAACACAAATACAAAACTAATAAAATTACAGTAAAAAAATATCACAGCTATAATTTTATGAATGAAATCCATTTTTTTTTAAATGAATCTACTAGTGAACACTATACGTTTATAAGCCGAACATTGATTTTAAACAAAATTCGCAGTGAATGTATTCATTCGATTCGAAGTTTGTTGTGTTCTGAATATTTGATTATTATTAGCTATGTCTCTACACAACAAACGTAAACTACATGACATGATGTGTTTAATGCAAACCAATACAATACGTGTCGCAAACAAACAATTTTTTTGAGTTGAAAGACCGCTTTCTCTTTTCATTCGATCATTTTTAAATTGTTGAGCTTAAATGCTTGCAATGGAAAATCAAAAAAATAAATAATTTTCGCATTTTCATTTAAATTTCAACTCAAAACAGTCGAAACAACGTCTTCTTCGACAGACTGCAATAACGATGTCTCCAATGGTTTGGAGTTTGTAGACCTGTCAAACTGTGTCATTTGACAGCTGTAAATTATTTTCATTTTTCAGTCGAACTGTCGACGAAGTAAAGTGAAAATTTGATAAATTTTTCTTCCGTAAATTTTTGGTGTTTTTTATCGGGTGAAAATGTCTGAAAAAATACCATGTTCGGATACTGGTGGTGTTCAACCCATGACCATTCAAGGTCGCATGGTTCGGGAACGTGAAAGATGCATTGGAATGACTCCAGAAGAACGAGCCTGGCGAGCACAATATTTGAAGGATCAAATTTTGACCGAACGTGAACCCGTTTATGTTAAAGAATTACACGAACAATTCCGGAATCCAATTCGTCGATTTTATTTGGCTCCATTAAACAAACTTCTTTTGGAACCATTGATTCCACGAATTGTAAATATTACCAATTGATTTTATGAATGTTATTATGTAACCTACAGTACATTGAAGACTCTGTATTGGACAACAGTGATGTAACATAACCTCACTTTGATTCAATATAAACAACAGAGACAAGAGAATTTTTCTTCTTTTCTATTTTTATCAGTTTTCAGTAATCGCATTTATTGTGAAAAGCTTAAAATTTATTTAAAGCAACATTACTAATGCATTTTATATATTGATTTTCATTTCTATTTTGCAGGGCCGAGAACCAGCCACATACATTCGTACAATTGTTGGTAAAGTTGGATGTATGATTGCTATCACTTATGCTGTTGTCTACTATTTCAAGTATAATGCTAACGTAAGTGCTTTGAACTTTTAATTCGATTTATTTTATCTCTTTCGACAAATTAAAACAAAAAAACCTTCTCATTTTATAGAACTGGACACATAAGAGTGGATGGAGAGTTATCCATTCGCGTAAGCGTGTTGTTCCAGGCGATCCAGGCTTTCCACAATTGTCTGATAGAACAAAATTCAGTGACTACGCTGCACGTGGATTCAATGAGAGCCCAATATAAATGATTCAAATTGCGATTTGAATCGAACCCACTAATCGAATATATTAGAGAACAGCAACATTTTCTTTTCACGTAGTAACTGAATTTTATCAATAAAATGTAAGAAAAATGACAAACGTATTTGATTGTTCTGTGTGTGATCAATGGACACACTTGTAAATGTCGTTGGAAAACATTTTTTCGAATTTATTTTCTTTTTTTCTTGCCTTTTTTCAATGGAAAAGCATATTTTGACTATAAAGAAATCGCTTGAACACTTAGCCACTTTGAAATCTGGGACGCAATGGTATCAATATCTCCAAATAACAAATACAGCTTTACAAACATTATGAAAATGTTGTTATGGCTTTTCGCTTACGACCCCAATGTTTATTTTTGCATACAAAATAACAAAAGAAAAAATATATATGATAAAATAAGGATTTGTTATTGTCAATATTTTGGTATATTAAGTTGACGATAATAAATAAACAAATGACACGGCGTTTGATCAATATAAAAATTGAATTTCCAACACTTATTACTAAAATTGCGCGAAAATATATGTGTCTCAATTCTGGAAGTTTTCGTATTTCAGAAAAAAGTGCACAAAAATATTCGAAAATTGAAATGAATGGCAGCTATTTCGAATCGAAGTTGTATAAGGAAATGACATTTAGTAAAAAAAGCCTTCGAAATATATGAAAAAAAAAATTCTATAATTAGTATCTAAACAAAAGAAAATTTCCGATAATTAAAAAATCATAAAAAATCTTATGAAAATCCATTAAAAACCAATTCCTTTCATCGGATGCAATTTCGTAAAATAACCTCAATGTATGTGCGATCGTAGAAAGATTTGAATGTTCGAATGAATGCGAATGAAAATGTAAATATGGGTGCACAGCTGATCGCTGGCAACGTAGTAGTCTGCTAAAGAAGAGGCGCGAAGGCAAAGTTGCTGTCACCATATATACACAAAATAAATTCTCAGCTACACATTAACGGTACGCGCAAAATGGTAATTTGTGTATGTGTATGGTGCGCGCTTAAAATTTTGCCGCCTCTCTACGTTTGCCTATATAGATCGTTGCACCAATGTGTGTTTGTATATTGCGTTCGGTTGCTTTGGCCTCTTCATTCAGCCTATACACATGTAGCGGTATGCGGTTGTGTGTATGTGTGGAGAAATGTGTAGAGTTTGTTGTTTTTGTTTAGAGACACATACGAAGCCATAGCATACGAATAAAATAAACACAAGGGATCACACTAATCATGAATGCAACAGATGTAGTGGCAAAACTAACGTATACACGCACACGTAAATACACAAAACACACTCATACACATTCGAAAACTATTTGAACTGAACTGATCGCTCGCATACCGGTATCATAATCAGGCCGGATTCTTTTAGTAGTTATGCGACTATTGAACTACACACAATATACACATACCCAGAGACGGACACAGAGAGAAAAAGAACATTGAGAGCACGAAGAATCATACGTACACCAAATTATGTGTGAATAGATTTTTTGAGCGCGCGACCAAAAGAAAATTGTTCAGTGTGTGTCGTATTTTGTGAACCCCAATTGCTGCGTTCGCATGCAATAAAATACGCACATTTTTTCTTTCTATCGCTCTCGTTTTGCATATTTTTTTAAAATAGAAATTGTCACGTTTTCTTCTGGGGGATTTTCTCAATTTTATAAATTGAAAGAAATCGAATTCATCAAATGAAATCCAATCGATCGAGTGGAAAAAATAAATTCAGTTTTCTATGTTTAGCCAATAATAATTTATCAAATTATCAAAGTTGATGAGTGTTTGGTGTTTTTTTAGATTTTAAGTTTGCTAGTGTGTTCTTTTTTCGTGTTTAAACAGTAGTATTAAGTCGTGTGTGATCATTTTTATATGAATTAAAATATTACAAGAATTCAACAAAAAAATATAGTATAATAAAAATAAACACAAAAACTGTTCAACCGTTTTCTGCCGAGTTCTAAGAATCATCAAGCACATTGAATAGTTGATTTTGGAATATTACTGTGGATTTGTATTTATTGATATTCTCATTATCAACACAATTATCAGGTAAATACAATCATCGAATAAATGTTTTTCTTTTTGTGATCGTTGACGATTAAAAAAATTCATAAGTCGAAAAAACAAAAGAGGTCAAAAATAAAAAAAATCTCTCTGTGGTGGTTTTTAAAAAAAAATTAGTTGTTAGTGTAAAATGTGAACGAACTGAAACAAAAGCGCTTGACACGACAATCGCGCCAATCGCAACTTTCGTAATAACCCCAAATTTATTTGGCGCTTAATATTTTTCTTTGCGCTTTCGTTTACGTACTCTTTTTCTTTTTCTCCATCACGTTCAGGGGAATATGAGATTCATTCGATTTGTGATCTATTTTACTTTAGTTTAAAAAAAAATCGTTTCATTGTCGTTCTTATGAACATCACAATTAACAGAGATTTCTTTTTTCGAAGAGCCGTACGAAACATCGAATGTGAGAGAGTGAAAGAGACGAGCAACGTGTCGTATAGTTGACAGAATATACTTTTGGCGGGTAACGAGGTAGTGTTCATTGATTTCGTGTGATTCACAAGAGAACCTACTTTCATCTAGAAATTTTTTTTAATTATATTTTCGTCAGCGATATTTTCCTCTGTTTCAAAGTGCATTGATCGAGAGTCTTTTTTATTGTTTAATAAATAACATGTTAATAACAAAAAATTGCATATCGAAAGCAATAATTTTTGTAACTAAAAAAAACACGAAAATTGGAATTTAAAGTGCTGACCGAACTGGGGTTTAAATTGGTAAATATTTGTGAGTGCGTGTGTAATGTACAGAGTAAAAAGAGTGGGAGAGAAAAAGAAAAAGAGAAGAGAGGAAACCCATATTTGTCGTAGCATTACCCGCCAAAAGACGATACGTTTTTGGCATTTTCCATGCATCTCCATATCGCGGTGTATCACTCTTTTTATATTGCTTTCATAGTTTTTGTTATGTGTGTATGTGGGTTTTTTTTCGCGATGATTTCCGTCAAATCAGCATTTAAAGCTCACATATGAGTCTCGTGTAACGCAAATATTTCAGAGCTCTTTAAATTTGTTTTGAATGTGTATGTTATTCTGTGTTGCATGTTATCGTAGTAGCGCTCCATTCTGCATCGTATTTGGAATAGATTTTTCAAGTGGCTTCTATGAGAAAATCCAAAGGAAATAAAGTATTGCATTCAAGCGATTTCTTGTTGTTGTTGTTTCCATTCCCAATCCGAAAATATTTCAGATTCAAGTGTATCGGCATCGAATATCAATGCGTATGTGAATTCTCTAGAATTTTGTCGGTTTTGTCTTCAATTTCTAAAAATTTTTATGCAACGATCAATAGACATAAATAACATATTCGAAAAGAGAAACTAACAAAAAAAAATCTACCTAGAAAATGGTCTCGGTTCGTTTTATTTTATTCTAAGCCATATTTTTTTTGTTGTGTTATATCTTTTCAGTATTAGTTTTGCATTGGGTGCATCAAAGTCACACATAGGATTTTAGCCGATCGAAAATGGATGTGAAGAGGTAAGCCAGAGTCTCACACAGATATTTTCAAAGCATTTTTTTTTTTTCACAAAATACAAAAACCCGAAAGGAAAAGATCAACATTTTTTCCCTTCTTTCACAATTCCATTCAATTCATTTGCCGATTTGTGTGAGAGTATATGAGAGATTGTAGTGTATGTGATGATGGTTGTGCCTGTGCTGTGCGGTGTATACTGTGAAAACTGTATTCACATATATGCATCGCAGTGATCACGAACCGAATGAAAGCACACACAACCGAAGCGAACACAGAATATTGTATGTTTGGCGCGTTTTTCGCTTTCATCATCATCGTCAAACGCAAACGAAAAATTAGTAGATACCGATTGCATGTCTCGACGATGAACGATTTAAATGCCCGAATTGAAAAAAATAATAATACGAAAACACAGACGCAATGAGATGTATAGCATTGAACTAATAAGAACATATTTTCATGTGCACATAACATGTGCATTATTATTTTGTCGGTAAGCCTCCTGCACGGTATTGGAATGTTCAAGAAAAATGCTTTGTACGCGCAATTTTATTTGTCTTCTCTTCTGCCACTTTTGTTTAACTATTTTGTTGGGTGTAATTTTTTTTTAAAGAAATCAACTCGATCTACATGCAATCGTAATTAAATGGCAATTCTACCACTCGATTGGCTCGAGATATTTTGACTCTAATTATAAATGACGTATTTTTTGTGGAATTATGGGAATTTTTATTGTTTTAACCAATCCAATCGGCCAGATCAATGTGGTCTCTATTTTATTCTTATCTTTGGCCGTTGATCACCCTCATGAGCGTTTTGTGTGAATTATGTTATTGCAGGCCCAGAAAATGTGACATTCAAAATCGAACGGACATTTAAATTGCTTTATCTGATCATCAAGAACATAATTTTTAATTTTCCTTCCCTTTTATTTTAAAATTGATCGTTGGTTTAATGAAAAGTGTCGGGTAAAAACTCAAAAGAAAGATATGGAAATAAAAAAACTATGGCTCATATGAAATAAAAAAAAATAAAGTCGAGATGAAAAAACAACGGCAAAAAAATATAAAATAAAAACAACAACAAATTTTGAATAGAACTGAAACGAGACTTTTTTCAAGCAATCATTCTCTTTTTTTTAAAGTAAGTCATTGACATCGAATGCAAATGTGATTCAAGACATTGACACTTTTTTTTGCTAAAATAAAAAAGCGGCTCTTTAAAGTTCTATGTGTGAAAAAAATTGTCTTCAGAATGAAAAAAATGAATTTGGCTTACGGATGGTAAAAATGAAATGAGAAAACTAGTTTCATAATTCTAACATTGTTGTTGTACGCATCGGAATGAGTGTAAATGAAGAGAAAGAGAGTAAAACCCATACGCACAAAGCGATTGTTATCTGTTCGGCAGTAAAACAGGCAACGGATCATTTCATACAAATACCAATGCTGTATGAATATGTGTGTTAATGAATGCTATACAGAGCTCTATGCTCTCTCTATCTCTTTCTCTCTCACTGTTTGCTCCCAGTTTATTTTTTACCCTTAAAGTTTCTCTCATACTGATGCACAAAAAATGGATTACAGCCATGAGTTTTTTTTTCTCTTCCGAAGAAAGTTTGCTCAGTGCAGTTTGAATTTAGTAGATAGGGTGTTTGTAAAAATAGGTACCAACTAAAACAAAATCTGAAAAAGAAGAGGAAGTAGTAAGGTCGTATGTTATTGATATTTCAGTATGTAAACTTTCGCACACAATGGCATTAGTATCTGGGGTGGGGGTATAACATATAGAAATTTACCGATCTTTTTTTCCTTTTTCGTTTCTTCTCACTATCAACAAACAAAATATCTCTTCACACATACTCATCCGTTCAACTGGCACAAACATTCAGAAGAATTATTACTTTCGACAACCGAAAATAGGTCTCGAACGAGAAATAAAGAGAGAAAGAGCGCGCCTAGTTTATATCTATTTGACTTAATTTTTTTCTCTTCAAAAAAATTTAACGTTCAAATAGTGTTTTTCTGTCTGAATACGCATAGTAATGAAAATATGCGCATATTTTATGCTATTATGCCATGTGGTGGTTTCTTTTTCACATCTCATTCTCACCGTGCATCTCCTTGCGATGAGTGCTGGACGCTTCTTTTCACTTTTTATTCAAACGCATTTCTTTGTGGTAATTTTCATTGCTCTTTCGTTTCAATTCTTCAGTTGATTTAAAATACAACAGTTGGCTGTGAAGCTCCAAGCTAACCGTCGATCAAACCGATCTGTTAACACAGAGGAACACGGAATTTTAATTAATGCAAAGAGCAAACTGAAGTTGAAGAAAAAAGCATATATTTTCTTTCATTGCAGCAATTTTGTTGAACTGCAATTTAAAGGGTTGCCAGCTAATGGATTTCTTTGTGTTCATTTGTCATTTTTATGTTCCTTTAGTGCGGCATTTGGTATTTAATTTTCATTAAAACTTCCATAAGATACATAAATCCGATGAAAAAAGAGGTTCTTATTGCATGAAGGTCTCGAAATGTGTTTTCAACCAATGTGCTTTATTTTCGTCTTCGATTCAACAAAAGGAAACGCGAGTTAGTTTTTTTTTAATGTGGCTTGTTTACCCCGTTCCACATCAGCAAATCCAGTTGACATAAGCACCATAGACAATGTACACATTTTTCTCTTTATCCGCTATCGAAATCGCTCTTTAAATGTACACACAACTCAAAAGGAAATTCACTGTCACTTAGGCTGCTGTAGTTGGTCGCGCGCGCGCGAATGAAAACAATACATCGGAATGAACAATAGCGTGTCGGGACTGCATGCGTGCGATCGAGTATGTGTGCTTGTGTTTACCTGTGTGTAAAAGGAAGTCGATGCATATTTCGGTGGCAGACGTGGTGCAATATGTACCGCGTCCTTTCAAACGCATATGAATGTTTATACGTGTATTCGGTTTCCCGCGCAATTTTTTTTATTATGAATTGTGTTTTCATTGGTCTATATCACGGCAGCCGACCCGTCGTAATAATGAAACAATAGTGCATATTTTCTTATTTGAATTATTTCGGTGCAATTCCTTTGTTTGTTCGGTAATTAGGTAAAGTTATGGGTTTTCATTGTGTTCGCCTGGTCGCGATGTTATGATTCGATGAAAACACACGTGCATTGCTATGGATGGGTGAATTCAATAGGATATATTATGGTTTTGTTTAGCGCGTTGTTCATGTTATTAGATATTGACCATACACACATCACACAGCTAATTCATCATTTTACGCTGCCCATTACTGAAAAGTGTGGCCGCAACTTCATTTATCTTTCGATTTTCCATTGTTAAAAACGCGAAGACGCTGGAACTAATTACACCGAAATTCATTTTGAAAAGGGAAGACCAATCAGATTTTAATTATCGAAATCATGTTTTTGGTTTTATCCATTTGACTTTCGCGCTATCCTTTTGTTTATGTTGTTGACCATAAATGACCAAATGTCAAGCCAAAAAATTTAGCCTTTTCTTAACTGCCCGTGAACCATGACTATCCATTAAAATGACATCAATATTTGTTTTCTTTTGTGAAAAAAAATGTGATGCGTATAAAAATATTAATATTTGTCACATTTGAATGCCATTGGAAAGGTAATGATCGAAAGGATCGAACCAAATGCAATGCATCATTACCAAGCAGATATTTCCCCATTTCAAAGCCTTTCGAAAATGACATTTTAAAGTGTTAAAATTAGGAGTCAATAAACAAAGTCGCGTTCTGGTGGATAAAAAAAGTGACCTTCACTAAAATTGTGCGCCCATAAATTGGAAAATAATCATATGGAATTAAAATCGAATTTATTTGATCATAGTATTTGCAGCACGTACAGTGTGAATAGCATACGCGCATTATATTCAATTTTTTTTCTAAATATTTCTTTTTTTTGTTATTAAATTTTCACCCCTTATTTATTCGGGAGCATTTGGTGATGCACTTCATTGCCTATCGCAATGTCAGTCATGCAAAACAGTCGCGAGTACTAAAATAAACAATAGATACATATGCATTTTTACGAGCAAAAAATAAACAAACGCATAACCCATGCATTTTAATTGATTTGAAATCGCGCCAAGTTTAAAATGACTTCGGGGTTAATTGTAATTGTTGCATGAACGAACACGAATTCTTCATTATTTTTAAATTCACTTCTTTTTTATACCAAAGAATTTTATGGTGTTTTTTTTCGGAAATGGGAAAACTCGTTGAATAAAAAATATCAAGACGAAAAAATTAATAAGGCATTTTTTTGGTAAATTGGAAAAAACTAAAGGGTTATGGTATCAAAAACCAGTAGAAAGACTACAATTTAATGTCATCTTCCAGCATATTTTGTCCCGTTATAGTATTGAATTGCATCCAATTATATGATTTAACGTCCCAATTTATTGATCATGCCAACAACAAAAAGTCCTTCATTTTTATCGTTGTTAGTGTCACTTAGGTTAAACTGCTGAAGGCGCTTGTTTGGCCAAAATCAACACATTTTATTCGAATAGAAGCGACAACAAGACCAACAAAAAATTTCCGATCCCTAACGTTTTTGTGTTGAAAAACTGTTTATTCAAATATAGATTAGATGGTACGATATGAAAACGGGTCTAAGTTTTATAACGATGAGACATCCTGAATATGCACATAAATAAATAAAATTATGTACATATAAAATTCAATAAAGAACTAACTAACATTGCAAAGCTGATGCATACGGTTACATTATATTTATTCTTTTTTTATTCATCGTAACACCTTTTCTATTCGATTCGGTTTTTAGAGCCGAACGGTTACTCGTCGTCGTCGTCGTCATCTTCTTCTTGCATTTCGTTTTGCCTTGAATAAAAATGGTCTTTAGGCAAAAAGGAGCGTTGTATGTGCGTCTGGTCTTTGAGTGACAGGATCATTTGTATTTGTAAAACCTTTTCGCGTACGCATACACTCATGCAATCGAATAGTACGAACGTCGTCAAGAAACATCCACCAAAACTGGATTTTCAGTTTTGCTTCGGTGGTGTACATAAAATGTATGATTAATTTATAGAGAAAATACTGGGTTCTTGTTCAAATGGCGCGCATATGGCAGATGTCTCATAATAATTGAAGCGGGCAGTGTACCGTAACTAAATTCTTATCCATTGCATTTCGTCAATACCTTTTGCTCGGAGTATGTGTGTGTGTGTAGACGTGTTTTGAATGCACAAATGCAAGTATGCAAACACGATCGATGCCAGTTTCTGAGTGAGCGATAAACATTTATGAATATTGAACTCGAAACGTCTTCAGTTTTCATATCGCAGGTATAAAACATTTGCCACACATGAGATTTCTTCTCTTGTGTGCTCTCTCACTCTCTCTATCGCTCAAGATAAAATATATGGCAGCGATAATATAATTTAAAAGGACCAAGTCAAATAATGTTCATAATTGTGCTATTGTGTGGAAACGAATGACGAAAGATTGGTACATGAACTCATGACCGTCGCATCTAATGTTTTAATCTTATTTACCATCTCATTTTGTCGTCTCATTTCATCTCATATTATTATGCCATTTCAAATACTGGAAGTCCCTTCGTATTTTTTCCGTTTATTTCTGGAGATGGCCAGTTGCATCTTCATTTGACCGAATCGGTACTTTTAGGGGTTGATACCAAAAAAAAAACTTGAAATTGAATGTCTCGACATTTAAAATGAGAGCACGAAACTTGTGAATGCAAACAGGAAATAATAATAAAACCGCAAAATATTCCTTGAAATTATAACCATTGCACGGAATCGGTCATTTGATTCTTTTGACAACAATGGAAATGCATCATTTAAATGTATATATTCAAATGTCTCGAATAATTTCAAATTGCTACTTTGATCCCGCCACATCCAATACAAGGATAAAGCCTTCGTGTCAGCAATGCAATATATTGTCGCGTTCAGTACAAAACCAAATGGATTTTATAATTTATGTGCATTGCAAAAAAAAGTCCTTAACGCACGCAGCGCAAAGATGTAAACAAAAAATTACCTTGGGGTATTGTTTACGATTTTGAATTGGGAAAACGGTTACAGATTGCCAAGAAGAACCTCTCAAGGTGCAGCTTTCAATTCTCTGCTCAACGTTTTTCACTCTCTCTCTGCTCTCTCATTCTGCATGATTCACAGCAGACATTTAACAGTTACTTAGGGGTTCAAAATTCTTAACAAAAGAAACACACAATTGAAATTCCGTTTCATGAGTCGTCCTTTTTTTTGCTGCCTCCTCTTCGTCTTTACTCTCCTGCTCTTCAAGTTATAAATTCAATGGTCTCGTTGTTCGTAGCGTGCCACGGTTTATTGTGTGTGTGTGTTTGTACGGATGAGTGTGTATCGATATTTCTTTTAATTATATATTTTAATCGGCAATAATGTATATGTTTGGTTCTTTGCACAAGAAATTGTACATTTATATAGAAAATCAAACGGCGTAAAAATCAACCGTACTATTATATTTAAACTGTCACTATTTCAGTTTCATTTTCTGTTTCATTGAAAAATTCGTTAATATTTTCAATTGATTGTTTTTTTCCTTTTTGCAGTACAACAATGGCCACAAAGTCTGAAATGGTTGCGTCAACTGTAAGTGGTAGTAATAATAGTGGATCAAATAAACGAAAACGTCGCGCCTCGTTTGATGAGATCGACATTGAGAATCAACGGCCGCCACCCGCAAAAAAAGTTTATTCTTCATCAGGAGAGGATTTGGATTCGGCTAGTGATATTGAAAACGATGCTGTTGAATTGGATTTGTATGCGATCGCCTCGAGTCCACCACAATCAGTAGGTAACCTTCGACAGAAAAACGATGGTGGTGGTGGAAGTGGCACCGGTGACCGTAACATTCGTACAATACGCAACACAAATTCAACATCACATTCGACAATAAATAATAATGATATTAGTATAAATAATAATGATAAGACACCAATAACAAAATGTACAAAATGCCATTCAAGAAACGATTTGCGAATTTGCCCATTGCCATTGTTATCATGGGCCGATGCAAAGGATGTGTGGCGTTTCATGTGCGATAAAGATAAAAAAACATCGATGGATAGGAGTCCGAAAATGTTACAGAAACATCAAGGATTACAGCCACGAATGCGTGCAATTTTATTGGATTGGCTATGTGAGGTGTGCGAAGTATATAAATTACATCGTGAAACATATTATTTGGCTTTAGACTATTTGGATCGATATCTATCGACAAAAGTTAGCATTTCGAAAACATTTTTGCAATTGATTGGCATCACATGCCTATTTATTGCGGCCAAAGTTGAAGAAATCTACCCGCCAAAATTAAGCGAATTTGCCTATGTCACGGACGGTGCATGCAGCGAAGAGGATATTCTGAAACAAGAACTCGTCATACTCAGTGCACTGCAATGGCAAACCAGCCCAATCACAATCATCGGATGGCTTGGCATTTATATGCAACTTCAAGTTAGCAATCGAACACCAAAGACATATGAAGAAACACCACAGAAACAAGTTTTGAAAGATTCAACAGCAACACAGACATCACATAATGAGAAAACGTCGACCACGAACAATGGCATCGATGATGGTTTTGTTTTTCCACAATTTTCCGGAATGGAATACGCACAAACCGCACAACTTATCGATCTCTGTACGCTTGATGTTGAAATTGCCAATTTTCCATACTCAGTTATTGCAGCCGCTGCCATTAGTCACACATTTAACAAGTAAGTGCAAAAAAAATACAATCAATTCGGTTAGTTTGGTGAAGGTTTTGAACTTAGAAAATGTCTCGATTCTAAAGGATTTAATGACTTAATTGGGCTCTAGTGCTCATGATTATTATAATGATGGTTGGCTAAATATAGTAACTAAATCAAATTTCTACGTTTTCACAGGAAAGTCGCAATTAAATTATCAGGTTTAGAATGGGCAACGATAGCTCCGTGCTACCGGTGGATGGAACCATATTTCCAAGTAATTTTGCAACAACCAAAACTAATTTTGCAGGAGAAACACGAACAGATTGAATCAAAACAAGGCATGAATTCGGTATGCCCAAATATCAACACAGACGATTCACACATTATTCAAATGCATACCACAACGATGGATATGTTTGTAAGTGTCATACTCTTATTATTATGTTGTCATTGACGAAAATTGACTTTTCCTTATTTAAAAAGTATTGATAAGGTTTGTAGAAAAATATTCATTGAATTTGTTTACTTCCTTTTAAAATGCAGGATCAAGCAGCGTTATACCGAGATCAATGTCTGCAAGAGGCATCACCAGCACCAATCCGTAAAAATATCGAACATATTTGTCCACCAGACGGTCTGCTAACGCCACCCGATTCTAGTCGAAAATTCTCCGAAACTCATCCCGATTCAAACTACAAATAGAAGATACAAAGACTTGAACCACAACATAAACAATTAAATTAACAAACCACACCACCCCCTGAAACTAAGCCTATTTATTTTTGCAAATTCAAAAAAAAAAAAAAAAAAAAAAACGAAAATAAAACAAATGTTGCATGAATATTTTATGCACTTATTATATCAATTTTAGTTCTAATTTTTGTAAGAATTCAAAATACAACTAATTTGGGATTTAATGTCCATATAATAAGAAAAAACAAATGAGTGAATCGTTGATTCATTAGATGCCGTCGAAAATGAAAGCAGTTTATATATTTACAAAATTTAATTTTGAAAAACATTCAAATCATTTGATATCAACATTGAAATAGATAAAAACAAAACATTAATTGTACCAAAAACAAAATGATTGAAACAAAAAAAAAATAAACCGAAATTGAATGTACACCGGAAAATGACTATTCAACCAGAATAACTTTGTATTTGAAGAATTTTTTGTTGTAAAATTATTCAAGAGATTAGTGCCGTCATTCAAAACGAAAAATTGTCAAAAAAAATATCCATATATTGCTATTTTGTGTGTATCAATATTTGCGGTTTTATGCAAATATGATTTTCATTGTAAAATAATGTTCCCAAGCGTGTTTTGCATGTTGTTCGCACTGATGCGTTCAATAATCATACTGCATCATGCAATGCGAACATAGAATACAAGCAATTCATTGTGAAATATGTTGAAAACAATTATTAACATGCGATACATTCATTGTTTTTTCTAAATAGACTGAAAATATAAATAAATTGGAAGATTATTACGTTGAATCTTCTTCAATTCGGACAATGTGTCCTTCAAAACAAAAACTAATAGTGATGTGTAGTAATAGAATTTCCATTTTGCATTCTCAATTAGGACAATAAACAATTACCGAATTTAGAAAATGATCATCTGAATTATTTCTTTGTAAAAAAACTAAAATTGAAGAAAACAAACTATGGTTAGACTAAAATAAAGATAATTAAGCGCTTTAATCTTATTGGATGACGCTGATATGGTATGGCGTTAAACCATTACGAACGAAAATAAAGTCTTATTTAAATTCGAAACAAAACGCTTATCGGGCAATATAATTTTACATTTTCTAAGATTTTTATGACACTAAGTAGTTTCTTATTCTTTCAGTACCTAATCGCTTTTTCTAAATAAAAATTGACAAAAATAAAAATAATAAATTACGAATGAAATCCTCGTGTGTTTTAATGAAGTTCGTTGCCATTTTAATTTCAAATCATTACAGATAAATTCGTCGCAAGCGTTTGTAAAGGAACAAATTGATTGGCATACAACACAGCTTCCATTATTGAAATTTGTCAACGCCGCTCTTTCAATGAAATCTCCTCAATCAATCGAAACGTCAATATCAATAAACCACTTGAGTGGTGACTCTAATTGAGAATGTGTTTTTAATCAAATAACTTATTCACAATTCAACTATGCGCAATTTAAAATATATATTATGATTTTTCGATTCATTTTAATTGCAAAAATTCCAATCGATGTTGTTATTTCGTTACTCTACGTACATCCATCATGAGTCATGATTAGATAGTATAGAAAGTCTCTGCATATCAGATTTTTTTGGTAGAATAATTTTTTCTTTGCTTCAAATCTTTTATTTGTGATGCGAATATAAAAAATGATGAATCCTTAAAAGTAGAAGGCGAAAAGCGAAAATAAAAAAAAGAGCGCCCGAAGGGGGACTTGAACCCACGACCCTTGGATTAAAAGTCCAATGCTCTACCGACTGAGCTATCCGGGCTTGGGGATAGTCGGCGCAATATGCGTCAAGAGCACCGCCGCATACAGCACGAACAAATGTGAAAAGGCGCGCAAACATTCTATCGACAAATGTTTATTTTTATAACAAGCTACAATTCATTGAACGAAAATGTCAAAGACATTTTTTTATTCGAAATTAATCAGTTAAAATAATTTAAAATTGTTTTGATATCAGAGGAATTGAAATATTGAGAATCAATGAAATCGATATTTTAAACTTAACAATGTCAGCATGATTAAGGATGGATAATAGGATATCTTCATTTTAAATTCAATATCTATATGGCTTAAGAAAATAAATATTATTCTCCATACAATCTTGGAAATTCATAAAAGCAGTGGCAGGAAAAATTGATTATTCGAGTGCACCAAATATTGACCCGTGACATCTCATTTTATATTTTTTTCGCAAAAAAACGCCTGATTCGTGATCAAGGGATCCCATAGCCAAGGTTATTACCCTCGCCGTATTTGTTTTTTAATTTTTTCATATTTCTGCTACACCCTATTGAACACTCAAAAGCCTTTTTTTCCAGACAGACTTCTCCATTTTATAGATTAATAAGGTCGCATTTTTCTCAATACATTAATTTGTACCAAAGCAATTGTTTGATCAATTTGATAATATTATTATATTAAAATCCATCGGTTGGATTTCATACAATCAGTGCACACGTGTGGCTCTTTTTAATTTTAGATTAACTGATCTTGAAAATGTTCACATATCAAGCGATCTTGATCATTTAAAATTTATATCTATTTTTAAATTATTATTATTGATTTGGGCTGAAAAGCCGAGTAACTATACTAACAATTCTACTTTTTAAAAATGTCATTTTTCTATTTCATTTTCTCCACTATTCAAATGAAAACCATACAAAAAATCGCAACTCAATTGGGTACAAAGACATTGAAAATTAGGAAACTCACTGAAAAACTATATCACACTTACATAAAATAGTTTAAAATATCGAATTCTCAATAAAATCTGATTTTCATTCATCGATTAAAATCGAGAGAATTTAAATGACGAATGAAATGAATTTGTCGATAGAATGTTTGCGCGCCTTTTCACATTTGTTCGTGTTGTATGCGGCGGTGCTCTTGACGCATATTGTGCCGACTATCCCCAAGCCCGGATAGCTCAGTCGGTAGAGCATTGGACTTTTAATCCAAGGGTCGTGGGTTCAAGTCCCCCTTCGGGCGCTCTTTTTTTTATTTTCGCTTTTCGCCTTCTACTTTCAAGGATTCATCATTTTTTATATTCGCATCACAAATAAAAGATTTGAAGCAAAGAAAAAATTATTCTACCAAAAATTCACGATTAAAATTATTGTTTTTTCCTTAATTCGGACCATATATTTGCAGCACTCTAGCGATAAAATACCGACAATGGGTGTTTGTATGCTTTGTATAGGGAATTTCGAGTTTTGAATACATAAAGAGCAAAGAAGTAAAGAAAAGTTATTCTTTGAGTGGTTAAATTGAAATAAACCACTTGCAAATCTATATTTTAATCATGATAAGGATCTTATTTATTTGATTTCATTATGGAAATTATGATTTTAAAACGATGAGAGACCATGAGGGTTGTATCAAAAAATATATAACATCTATTTTACAAAATGTTGATTTTTGAACAAAGCCCATGCCGAACGTCATTTTATAAAAAAGAAAATCAAACATATTCGATATTTATGCCATATTTCATCAACGACTTTTGCTCGTTTTTTTCCATTAAAAATTCAAAATAAAAATAAACGGGTGAATGACATTTGAAACATTGCGATAAAAAAATAATTCAAATTTCACTGTAAATAAAAGTAAAACATTAATTTTGTAACGAAATAAGAGCTGATCTAAAAGAAATAAGAGCAGGTCATTATGTTCAGTCTGGTGTATAGAAAATTGCAGCAAATAAAAAAAATTCATTTCGATTGTGATTCTGGAAAACATTTATTGTATAAACAAATGTAATAGTATAAAGAATTTTTCATTGTAGTGAATACATTTAATTTTATTTTGTCGCAAATTTTGGGCAAACTTATATAGATATCTTCATACTTATTACAAAAGACTGTCTCATAATTTATATATATTTTTCATTTCCAAGTTTGCTTTAGTTTCTTTTTCTCAATGAATTTATGATACAATTAAATGAAACGAATTGTATTCGATTTTGTGTAACATATGAAAATATATAAAGAAGGGAAAAAATGCTGAAAATCTGGTGTGAAGTACGGTTTAAACGATTTCCTTAGCGATTGGAATGAATGCGTCCCAATATTTGGCAAGCTGAAAAAAGGAATATATAAATAAAATAAAAGGCCATTCTCCTCATTTCTTTTAGTGTGTAGAGAAAAATAAGAACCTGTTGTTGATGAGCCATTTGATCTTCCAAATACTTGACGATTATCGATTTAAATTCGGAAACGCGTTTAATATCAAAGCGTTCCATTTCCTTCTTAATCTCCTTTGAAATTTCTTCAAATTCTTGTTGGCAACGTTGCACCTTTGCTTCCCATTCCGTAATTTCCTTTTGAGCAGCTTCAGTTTTATCAGTTCTGTTTGCAAGTTCCAATTTTGCCTTGTTTTCACGTCGCTTGGTCAGTTGCATTTGTGAATGTTCCCAGTTTTGGAATACCTTTAAAATAGCACAGTTTTAATAGAAGATTTTAAAATAGGCATGCCTTGGAAATGTACCTTGACACGTTCGTGGAAAGCATCTTTAATTGCTCCAATCAAACCCAAATAATCCTTGATTATTTCGGTTAAAATATACAAATCGGAATTGGCTTGTTCGGACCGAAGTAGTTCAACTTTTTCTTCTGTATCAGCTAGTTGTGACAATGCTCGCGATAGACCTGTATGCTCTTCGCATGTACTTAAAATGGCAGCCGATTTAGCGACGGCGCCAGTTAATCCTGATAACTCTTTTCGATGATGCACCAATGACTTTAGTGCCGAATGCAATTTTTGCAAATTATTATCCAAATTTTCTATTTCGCAGATTTTCTCTTGGAACCACTGAAAATTCAAACAAAAGTTTACCTCTACTGATTAAGAAGAAAGTTCTACTGTAAAAATGTAAAAGAGTGTCTCACTCTTACCGGATCATTTTCATCCATTTTGTAGGTAATTTTATTGACAGTTTCACCGAAACGATTAAACAATCGCATCACACCGGCACCACTGAGTGCGGCTGTGTTAACAGCACGCGGAAGTTCTTCGTTGCTTTGTAAAAAGTTAATGAAATCTGGATCAAGACATAGTGCCGGATGTTGAGCTGTACGACATAAGAATCGTTCAAGAGCAGCACGACGATTTTCAATCCACTCCAGACTGCCGCCGTTTCCAGGTTCAGTTGGTGTTTGTGCACTCATTTTGACCTTTGTTGATCCTGAATCAAAGATGAAAAACCTCATTAAATCTCGTCTTCCGCATTTTATTTTTAAATTTCAATTGATTGGAAAGAAAAGAGTCGATTATACGAACCGAAGAGATTCTTTTCCGGCGCCGGAGGAATGATTCGTCCCAAACGAAGGTATTTGCTGACAAGGAGATCGTGCAATCCTAAGAAATCACTGAACCGTCTCATCGTACTGAATTGTTTGGCCTTGAATTTTGGAATGCTCGTGTGTGTCGTTACTCTTTATTCAATCCAAGTACAATAAGGTTAAATACATTTTTTTTTATTTGTTCAAAGCACATGAATGTTGTTTTTCATTGAAAATTGGAAATAAAAATAAAATTGCGGTGTCGCATTGAGAGTACTTACTTGTACGCTAAATAAGAACCCATGCCTTCGCCGACTTTTTGCGGTTCGGATACGGTGATTTCGATAAAGAAATCCGAATGTTCATCCGTTGAGATGTCTTCCATTGTATTGTTGCTGGCTTCATTCTAAAAAAATGGGTTAAAAAGAGAGCGAAAGTTTAAGAACGGTATTTTTTTATATAGGGAAAATTCCATAACATAAACGTTACGGTTTGATTATAATCCTTTACGGCCCATTACCCTAACGGTTCATTATTGCAAAATTCCATCAATATATTTTGATTTTAATTTATAACCCCTTCTTGAATTTTGTTTACTTTTTTATTTGGACGAAATGCCATTGAATTTGTGAATGGGCTCTTTAAAAATCGTCGATTCCACTCTTCATTGAATACTCTAAATCAATGCATGTTGAACATAATAATAATCAGTGATGTTGAAAACTATGCGTGTTTCGATACAACGAACATCTTTAATAAAAGATTTCCGGCTGCTTCAAGGAACATATAAAATCAATCAAAGACCAACACCACAGAGTGTTATTTCGTTGACTTTGATTCTATTGTTCGTTGCATTCAATATGGGGTCTTTTCCAAACGCACAAACACACACACACACACTGCGTGCTGTGATTTTGATGACAGTGACACAAATAATGGAATGATGCATTCAATTCAATGTTACTTTTTCATGCATTTAAAAGACTCTGCACAAAAATTCAGCTGGTTTTTGATCTGCACAATTTTTACGTACGTGCATTTTTATTTCTTCAAGCTTCAGCTATAATTAAGTAGTTTGTTCTTTTTCATGATTTTACGATTCGTCTTTTTATTATTACTAATTCAAATATTTGAATTCAAATTTTGACGCTTTGAAGGCAAGAATTGACTTGGCTGCTTGCAATTTTATTGCTCATTAGTGTGATTTTATGCTATTTCTCTGCCCAAAAAATGTTCATTTTCGAGGGAATTTTATGCAATAAAAATATGTCATTTTTATGGCTTCCTTTTCATAATTCGCAACGACTATGCGGAGTTTTGAAGTAATTTTTGTATACAACGAATTAAGTCTTTTATGCGCTGCTAATTGGCTGATCATAAAAATGCACACTATTTTTTTCACAATTGATTATGTCATCTATGTATGTGTGCACGAGTACGTATTATTAACACAGGGGACATATTGAAGAGAAAAACGGAAAAGTAGCTGATTTACTTTGAATTAGCGGCAAATCAGATTTCTCTTAAAAAATCGACATTTTTTACAATATTTTTTTTTTGCGTTTTTCTTCAGATTTGAGTGCCAAATAATTAAATTTGACGTTCGAAAATACGCTGTATTTGACCTTTTCTCTCAACCTTATTCTCTCAATCGGGGACTGTGTATTTTCATATACGTGTTCATTGTATAGGATTTTCAATGAATATATTATTTTCGGCATGGCTGTCGCACTACGCATTGACTCATGTATGTTGTTTATAATATCATTGGCGTTGATTATTCCACGAAAAGGCGTCGTTGCCGATAAATTCGCTATGCATTAACAGAGTGGTACTTGTTATCAAAAACAAATGACAGCACATAAACAATTAACAGTACAGTGATAAAATTACGTTTGAGGCGTTGTTCGGATGTGATATATTTTATCGCTACACTTGAAAATGAGTACCGAATAAAACGAGCGGAGAGTTTTCGGAATCGGAAATTATGAGATGCGAATGGTGTTTATGGAAAGAATTTAATCTCATTTAAACTCTCTCCATTTCAATCGAATTCAGAAAAGAATTCTATACATATATTAAAATATGAACACTCTACCTGTTCATGATCGTCATTATTACTGGATTCTTTATTATTATCATCTGGCGATGAGTTGAAATCGATGTTTTCAAATTGTTGTGAAGGTTCGGCGGTTGTGAGTTGATCGTCCATTGTAATTTGTTGCCTTTGGTTTTCTTATCGAGTTTGGTTCTTACCGAATTTTTATTCTAATAAGATTTGTCGCCGATCAAACAAATTAAATGCAAACGATAAAATGTTTTTCTACTAAACTAAACCTGAATACACGGAATTATCGAATAATATTTAATAATTGTTTGCACCAAAAGAATATTTATGCAGCTAATAAATGTGAGAAAATAAGGTTTTGATGATGTATATCGAAAATAATGGACTGTAATGCAGAGAAATGTCACTCGGATGATGACAATGCAACGATTCTTAGCGTTTAACGCACCAACACGTTCTTGACGGTCTAACGCAATATACAATGGCTTTTGAAGGCGACACTTTGCAGCGCTGGTTTTAAATTGAAGAAATTTGTTTCAATGCCATTATTTATAAAAGTCATTTTGAACGTCTTTCCCAAAATTACGTGAATTCGTTTTTATAGAAGAGTATTTTTAATTCAAAAATATATTTCATTCTAGTGACTATGACGAAATATTTCTTTTATTTTGGCTGTCGATACCAACGCCATCTATTAATCGATGACTCACTTTTTTCTTCGCGGCGTTAAATTTGTTTATTTCATTTTGTTATTGTTTTACATTCGAATGGGATAAATTTAAACAAAGAATCAACGTTGGAATGTCTCAAAACAAGAAAAGACGTTTGTTCAGCATTTTGAAAATTGATAAATAAATAATAATAGCAATATTACACGAATATTTTTGAGATGAGCATTTTTGGGGTTTATTTATAATTCATCAAATCTCACTTGTAGCATGTGTTTTATTCAAATCGGGCTAAATTAATTTTGTTAAAATAGAGAAGATATGTTTGAACTATGCAGCATGTGATTGTTATAACTTGTATTTCAATTTGAAACATTCATGGTGATTCCTTTTTAATAATTAATAACAAAAAATCACCAGACATTATTTTGAAATATTTTCAGCCGGATGAATCAGCTCAGCCAGATATCGTCAGGAGCTGAAATTGAGTGAAAACAATAGAAGTGATTGTTATGGCTATAATTACACTTATATTGCTACAATCACTATAACAATCACTTTTATTGTTTTCACTCCATTTCAGCTCCTGACGATATCTGGCTGAATATCTCAATATAATGTCTGAAAATCACATATGTTTCTTTGTACTTTTGCATTTTTTTCGGAATTACAAAAGGTATTAGGGCACATTTTTGTTGTCTGGCGATTAGAATGAAATTGCTAAATATGGAGACTTTCTATTTTTTGCTATATTGTTTCTATGAGAAATATGAAATTTCTTGAGAATCTAAACTATGGCTCTCAGTGTGTAGTCAGATTTAAAAGCGGGATATAATTTCTTTATCTGAATAAACTAAAACCAAGGTATAAATTGAAGATGTATTTATATTGGCGCCCATATTCAACGCTGTTTCTCTATGACTTGAGGCTGGAATAACTAATACTAACAAAACTAATTTAATTGAATAAAAAAGCATTGAATATGTAAACGAAGACGTTAAGAAAAAATTTAAGAAATCTTGGCAAAATAAATCAAAATGCATCTTTTCACACTGCAGTTATTTACTAACATGGTGAAAAAGGTTTGAAAAAAATGAAGAACTTTTGAAAGGCATTAAATGTTATCAAGTTCAAGTTATTGAACAACAAGAACTCGATTGATTGACTGATAAAAGAGTTAAATTAACGATAAAATGATTCCAATCAAGATAATAATAAATGATTAGATTGTTGATGTCGGCATTGACAATTGATATAGCTATTCTGAAGACCTCAAATTTAATTCTCGTTATAAAATTTGATTAATTGATATCAATCGAAGCAACCAGTCGAATGAGTAAATATTGTTTCCATCTTGAGAGAAATCAAAAAATATTATTTCAAATCGATAAAAAAGAATTTACTTCAATTTTTGGTAAACAAAATTGCGATTGTGAAAAAAGTTTTAAAACTCGATTTTTATTTACTGTCCAAAACATCGAACATTTGATTGTGGGATATTTTTTTTAAATTTCAGATAATGAAGTGTTTGATTAAAAAGTCCGAGCCACAAAGCATATTGTGGAAAAAATGTACATCGGAAAAATCGGATATTTACATTGATCTATTTAAAATGAAACATCATGTGATACACTTGAGCCCAATTGAATCCAGACTCGAAAAGGCTGAATCGGCCATGCCTCTGAAGGATAATCGCGTCGCAAAAGAATACCGTGAAGAAGGAAAAGAATTATTTGCGCAGAAAAAATATCCAAATGCAATGAAGAAATTTAATAAAAGTTTAAAATTGGCCGAAAATGAAACCGAAGAGGTGGGAATAGCATATGCAAATAGATCATCGTGTTTTTTCCATATGAATATGTTGGCCGAATGTATGGTTGATCTAAAATTAGCAAGAAAATCAAACTATCCGGATCATTTAATACCTAAGCTAGAAAAACGAATTTCACAATGTTCAACTTTAATGAACAACAGACGGTCGAAGGTCCATCAATTCGATGTTCGTGAACCGACATTGAGTTTTGGTGAACACAAAAAATTTGCAGGTGTCGCAGAGTGCTTGGAAATCTATTCAGATATTGAATACGGTCGTCATGTTATAACAAATCGTGACCTTGAAATTGGCCAAACAATTTTGGTGGAGCGTCCATATTCAATAATTCCAACCAAATATATTGGCATCGGTCATGATCGATGCGTTCATTGCTTTAAGGAGCTAAGGAATTTCGTGGCTTGTGAAAATTGTATATCAAGTCGTTTCTGTTACGATGGCTGCATGGATATGTCAAATCATAGCTTAAGCTGTAATTTACCGATACCCAAGACGAATTCGGAATCGTGTCAATTAGTTTTGGAAATTTTATTCAAGACAAATGAAGCATTCCCCGATATTGATGTGCTAACGAAAACTGTTGAGTCATTGCTTAAAGGCAAGGAACCGATTGGTCTCACAAATGCCATACATCGAGATTTTTGCTCAATTTTCCAACTAACTACCAATCATGATAAGCGCTCCGCGGACCAGATACAAAAGCTACGGAACACATCTGCTTTTATATTTTCCACTCTCATGCAGATTCCCGATTTTAATTTGAAATTCACTAAAATGAAACATGCGCGCTTTTTGCAACATTTAATTCTACATTTTCTACATATTTCGGAACATGCCATTGATTTATATCAATATGTTCAAAGAGATGAAAAAGCCAAGCTGATGACATGCACAAAAAAGCATTACGCCAGTGGCATGTATCCATTCGGTTGTGCCATGAATCACTCGTGTGTGCCGAATATTTCCTGGTTTGGCATAAATGATCGTCTCGTCTGTAAAGTGATTCGACCGATTAAAAGAGGAGCACAAATATTTCGATCTTATTCAGCGCTCGAACAGAATCCGAATGTTATTCCTGAATTGGATGATCGATATCAATTTAAATGTGAATGTTTTACATGCTCAAATGTAATATGGTGTCAATTAACTAGTGCCGTGAATTGTTCACAAGATAAACTTTATGCCGATGCTATTAAACCCATTTTTATGACCGCCCAGGAAATTCGTCATTTGCCCAGAAACCAATTACTGTCTTACGAACAAAAAGCAATCGAATTTCTGTGCAAATATGACACTATTCATCCAGTTAATGATACAATTGCAATTGAGAAGACACTACAAATTTTGTGGATTTTACTCGCTTCAAAGTTTGAGTTTGCATCTGAATCTTGTACGGAACACAAAACCAAAGCAATGAAAAACTGATTTATAAAATATTCAATAATATTAATATATCTCTAATTATTATTACACACTACACAATCGTTGACTTTGACTTCTTTTATTAATTATCTACAAAAAATATTAAATAACATAATATCAGAAATGTCAAAATCTTTTATTGCTTGAATTTGAAGGGCGGAGGTCAATTTTGTATGTAATTCTTACCCTTACCCTTTGAACTGGGGCATTCAGGGCAATCAAAGCTATGCCAATGGATACTACATTGATATGCCGCATATCATAATCGTAGCGTTCATGGGAAGAAACATATACCCTCATTTGAGTCATAAGGGGTGAACATCCTGTTTTGAAATTACGAAAAAATGGATTTTTTCTCATTTTTCAACACTAATTAAAGGTACAAGCCAAAATGAAGATCTAAAAAATGCATTAAAAATTTCAAAAATTTAACTCTCATTCTCATAACTTTGAAAAACGAGACCGCCGTTTGGCGAAAAGAAACAGAAGAAAGTTGAGAGTATAAAAATCAACTAATTAGTAATAACACTTTTGACAGTGTATGCGCCTTGTGGATAAATTTAATAAAAGTAGATCAAAGATCATCTTATCTAATTAAGCATAATGAGAAAGCGAAAAGATCTTCAGCTTCCCCCAGACCATACTGTCACCAAACAACTTCATATCAGTTATAGAAACTCAACAGTGTTCTTCAATCGATCTGTCGTTTCGTTGAACTAATTTGCTAATTGCAACAGTCTTAAATAGCTCCAATTACCTATCGTTTGCTTTATCCTTCTTCTGTACTTTTCATTTTTTACCATTCAAGAATAATAAACTAAATAAAATACACATTGAAACAAAAAATATTGTCAACCGTAAATAGAAAGCTATTGTGAGTGTTTTTTATTTTTATAATATAAATTGAAGTTTACATTAGTCGCTATCCATGTTCCACAGAGATTGATCAGTTTATTCTTTTGTTTCGTTTGAAGTTAGAACTAGATAAAATCTTTCTCACCGTAGGCTATTTCCACACAATCATAAAACGATGGAAGAAAACGAATGTGAAACTTGTCCGTATCGTATTGTCGGCGATTGTTGTGCTGCATTTACCACTGGTTGTATTGGCGGTGGAATATATCAAATGATGAAAGGTTTTCGAAATGCACCATCTGGTTTCCAAAGAAGAATGGTTAGTTAAACACAGTACCCTTATCGTAAATAAATGTGTATAATCAGAGTTTTTTCTTCTTATAGTTCGGCAGTTTGTTTGCGATAAAACATCGATCGCCCACCATTGCCGGGAATTTTGCGATATGGGGATGCTTATTTAGTGCAACCGAATGCACATTAGTCCATTACCGAAGGAAAGAAGATCAATGGAATTCCACAATCAGCGGTGCTACTACATTGGGTATTTTATCAGCACGAAATGGTATGAAGATCTATCAATAGTCCATTATTTAACCCTTTCCAACTCTTTAATCGCAAAATATTTCAGGTGTACCCGCAATGGTTGGCAGTGCTGTTTTTGGAGGTGTCCTTTTGGCTTCAATTGAATGCATTGAAATGTGGTTTGTTAGGAGAAACAATTCAAAGCAATAATATATACATGTATGACAATTTAAACCGTAAAGAAAAAAATGTCATCAATTTGAAAAAGAACGGAAGCATCACTCCATTTCAACATTGGCTTTGTTAATTCTAAAATTGATAAAAAATTTAACTTTTTATTCTGTCACTTCAATATGTTTATTCCTTTTTTACTTTATATGAATTCACATACATTTGCTTTGACAGTTGTGTGTATACAATACGTAATGTTTGAATCAAACATAATGTGCTATGATGTTCTGATTTTTATAATTAAAAATGCTATTTTCTACTATTTGATAAATTTAAGCTCTTCAGCTGGTGCAACGTACATTTCGCTATTTAATTTCAAACTATTTTTCTCTTTCCGTCTCTTTCATTTAATCGATATAAATGCTGATATATAACAAACAATAAGAATTGTCTGAAAATGTCATTTCTTAACATGGCTCATGTGTTAAAACACCAAAGCACTAAATTACAATATATATTATTTGTGATACAGTTTAATAAAATCACAACAAATATTTTCTGCCTTGCATCATCATCACCATCCGCATAATTGCGTCAAATGACCACGATGGCCAGCACAATTTTGCACTATATATAAAATAATCTAGGTGTAGAGTTGAAATAAATCCTTGTCAAGCAGATGTTGATGGATTATCTGTCAAAGAGATGAAAAATCACAAGTCAATTAATACGTGAGTACAGCCATTTGATATACAATGTGAATACCTTTTGTGCTTGAGAAACTAAATGTTCTTGCTGTTTTGATGTTCTTTGTTGTATTATATCCACCACAGTTGGCACATTTCAATCCAATAAAGTGAAATTTCACCGTCGATTGCTGAAACACACAAACAAATTATTTAAATAGAGCACACGCCATAGGTCCAATTAGAAAATTAATGAGAAAAAGAAGCAATGTACATAAAGCCCATTGAGACATTGTCAACTTACTTTAAAACAATCGTTGCAAAAGATATCCACAATACTGTTCTCATGTGATTTCGGAACGGGTAAGTTCTGTGCTTGTGTATCGAGGTATTCCCATAATTTGGTCATGTCGATCATGCTATAATTTTGTACAATCTATTTTAAAAATTGAATCAATAAGAATTTCAAAAAAAAAACCTCATGTTGGACACACCTCATTTGACAAGTCGGACAGACGTAATGCCCCGATGCGAGCTGAATTATAAAACGACATCAGAAAAAGAAGAATTAATACCGTGATGAAATGAATTCGTGATGAGCTAGAGAGGTGAAGATTTATGCTTACCAACTGGTCGAAGCATGTTTTGTGCAGCAAATGACCGCAATCAGGAATATGACATGGATAACGAGATGTGTGTATATCTCCCAAGCATACGGGACAATTTGAACGTGATACATTCTCCACACACTGTAAAATCGGAAATTCATTTAAAGTGCGGACAAAGACGCAATGAGAAAAAGCAACAAAAAAACCGGAATTGATTGGAACATCCAGTATTGATAAGACACACATGAAGGTATACTCACTCGATGTCCGTTTGTTTTTAACTGCTGCGGCAAACACATATTACATACTTCACAATGGAAAAAATTGCTCTGTCCGCCAATTCGACAAATACCACATCCATCACAATGATATTGATCCTTGTCCTCGTCGTCAAACAAGTTACAAATTAAACACGTGTACTATAGAGAACGATAGGGGGAAATTGTATCAAATATAGAGAGTGTACGATTTCAGTATCCATTTGATATGTACGTCATATTTCTTCTTATTGGTGGTTACATTTAATGCGATTTTTTTTCTTCGACAATGCCTCACTTACCTTTCCAAATCGAATGCCGCAATTTGCGCATTCAGCTTGTACTTTTTGTCGTGTATCACAATTCGTGCAAATTAATTCAGTTAGCGTTTTTCTATCAAAGTGATGATCCTCGTTTTCATCATGACAGTACCGACAATTGTAAAAATTTCCACAGCACGGCGTCTAAATGAATTGAAGCGAAAGAGAAAAAAAATGTGATTATTGAAGAAATCAATGAATAAAAATTCGTTTTCTACTTTTCCGCACACACCTAGTGTGTAAGGGGAAAGTATTGCAATGGGTCAAAATTTACGACATCTCAAAAACATGTTTTCTGGACGTTTCTGAGGTCAGAGAACCCGAATCAGGCCGTTTTGAGCATGGTTGTTGTGGGTCTGTTCCACGTTCGCAAATTGTGTCCATCGATTATCTCAATCATGGCTCCCATACAAAAATCCAAAAATTTTGTGACTAGTGTTTTGTTAGAAAATAGAATATTTTCAAATGTCGTACAAATGGGTTCATCATGAAAGTGTGAAAAATCTTTTGCGAGTACTTTTGCTATTAAATTAAAGAATATTTCGATGCAAAGGTTTGAATATATTTTTTGGTCTCGAACTTTACGCCGCTTGAAAGGCTTGAAAAATCGAAAAAATATTATTTTGAACTAGCTTAATAAAATACGCAACTACCACCGTGCGGAAAAGTTCGTCTTACTCCCGTAAGACTCTTTATTTTTTCATAAAGTTGTATACTAGATGCATAGTATACAATATAAATTCATGAAAATAAATGTCGATAAGTTTTAATTTAAATGGAAATTTTGTAAAACGCACATATATATAATGCGCAAATGACAGTTTAATGACAATAAAAAAAACATGAAAAATATTGCCCGAAAATCCAATTTAATAATTTTTGTATTTATTATCTGCTAAGACGATACGACCGGTAATAAAAATTGTTGTGATAATCATATATGGGCACGGTCGAAAACTGAGAGGGCTCATTCGCCAATGAAAAAACCCTAACAAATCGATAGACTTTTTCGCTCCGAAAACCCTAGCAAAAAGAGGTTTTCAATTCCACTCGGAAAAATTGATTATGAGGTTATTGAGGATTTAGCTAAAAAAAGTTCTAGAAAATTGAAAGAATTCTACAAATTTTAAGAGCAAAAAATACATCTTCACTTTTTTGTAGAAAATCATTTGCAAATCGAAATGGGGGTGTATGGTCGATTTACGATTTAAGGGGGGTATTTGCGACTTACATCCTCTGTGCCCATGTATGGTGATAACATCGAATGACAAATGCTCCTTTGTTGCTAATTATTTACAAAAATATTATTTATTTTTATCTACAGTGTTGTTTTTTCGTTCATCAAAATTATATCAATTTAATGAATGTTTCTTTTAAATTTGCTGAGTTTTATTCATACGAAAAATTAGCACTCCTCTTGACAGTACATGCACTTCATTTTATCATTTGTCTCATTTTGTCTCTCAAGTTAAAAATGTGAAAAAATCCACTAGAACAAGTGTCAATTTTTGTTGAATTTCGGAATTAAAGCGGTTTTACAGGTGTTCTTTACTGTATTTTAACACCAAATTAAGTCATTTCAATAAGAGATGCATTTGCATAAACAATTGCTTTTGTTTGAATGCTACAACTTCCATACAATTCAGAATGATGCTATTGTTTGTGCTCAAGTTTTATTTACAATTTCATTTATTTGTTCAATCGATTGCCTTTTGTTTCACATAGCACACGATGCTTCGAGTCGGCTACGACAGTGCTAATCAACAAAAGTAAATATAATAATTTATAGGTATTTTAAAATCGCATTTTTTTTTCTCGTTGAATTTGAACGCCATCAGTGATTCATACAGGTTTGATAATTCGGTACATCAGCCAGATGTGGCTGCCAATTCATTTTACATTTATAAGAAGAAATACCGAAGAGCGGCTGTAATTTACGTGTTAAAACATTTGTTTTTTTAGTCTCACATTTTATGATGGGCCGTAAATTTTCGTTGTTTTTGTCTTGCAATTCTTTTTTCAGTTTGCCTTGTCACCCCATTTATGGTGATAAAAACTACTATCTGCAACTAGTAACTATTCATTTGTTCTTTAGATTGTTTGACATGGGTTTCTCGCATTGAAATAAAAAGTGTATAATTTCGTGTTCCTATCCGTTGGGAAGCCTTTTTTTCCATAAGGTTCGAATGAGTATCGAATGGTACTTCATATATGGTGCTACTAATTTTGGCTTGTAAATAAGTTTACTATCTTGCAGACGCTTACAATGATTGTTTTCGTAAAGAATACATCACACAATGTGCGCAATGACAACGATTTTTTTTTCTTCCTTCTTATCTCAATTTAATGAAAGACAAATATTTATTTCAGTTTCCGTTGCTATCTCTTTTTCCCTCTCTCTCTCTCCCATACGCTCTTTGCCATTTAAAATTGCAAATGAGAGTGTTTGTGCGACATAGAAGAGTGTATTTAAGTCGAACAATAACTGAAAGTAAGTAATGTGCCAGCCAATCTATAATAAATAATAATTTCCTAAGTAAATACGGAATATTTTTGTTTTGTTCGATTTTAGCGAGAGGAAAAAAAGATCGCGGTCGACACATTAGTGTATGCACACATTTACCGAACGCGCAATAGCAAAATTATCAGCCCTCCTTTTCCCTACAAATGGCATGTTTGTCTACAAAATGCAAATAAACCAATTTAGCGATAATATATGGATCACGTTTGGAGAATTGTTTTCCTTCATTTTTGGATCTAATTGTAGCAGCACACAAACACGTTATACATTTCTTTTACTTTGTCTCTATCTGTGTACGTTATATTGTTTATCAATTGTATTTCGTGCAGTTTTTTTTCTATTTATTACCATAAACCAATAGCCATGGAATTTATTAAATAAATTTATTCGAGACTGATCGACTAGAAAACATACAATTAATTTGTGTGCCGTTGAACAGCTGAATTGCGATCAAAGTTCGAACAGTAGGAGAGAAGTCGCAAGATATAAAAGTCATTTTCGTTGGGTCATTTTCTTGATGAATTCGTTTCATTGCAATAGTATATTCATCTTCCCAACAAACATTTTATTGATATGCCCACTCAAAAAAACGCTCGTTTATGATTTTTAATGCACAAAATGTCCGCTTTTATTGTATCACAAATAAAGTGAGAAATTACACTAAAGTGGATGTGCGCACATTATATTCCATTGTATGAAGAGAGCTTTGGCGGTAGAAAGAGAAAAAAAACAACGATTCAATTACTTGAGTAAATTAGGCTCAATTAGATTTCAACGAGAATGGCAGAAAAGGCGACCGTTGATTTTAGCGACTTTTCGAAGTTCCATTTTTTATTTAAATGTAAACACTCCACAAAAAAACGTGCAAAATGATCGGTTACACAAAGCTCATTTGCCCATTTTTGAATAATATAGCGAAATACATTTTTTTTTTCGAAACCAGTTACAAACTCTACAGCGAGATAAGACAAATGGCATGCAAATATTTACAGACAAATTCCAATTTTAAATTGACTAATGAATTTTTATTGTTTCATCGACAAAAAAATATTCTTCTATGTTAATCGGTCCGCCTATGTCTATGAATAAATGTTAAATCTTCAGAAGTTTATTCGGTTTTTTTTTCTATATTTCTCACTTTTGAATATCATTCAATGGCAATGTCCGAAGAGTCGGTGCCGACGCTAAAACCTGTTCAAGAATTTCGATTCTTTTACTTTTCCGCACACACCTAGTGTGTAAGGTAAAGTATTGGAATCGGTCGAAAAATTAACACCCATAAAAAATGTGTTTTCTGGGTGTTTTTGGGGCCAGGGAACACGAATCTAGCGTTTTTTCGATGTCCGAATGTATGTGCGTACCCTGTACCCTGTACCCTGTACCCTGTACGCTGTACCCTGTACGCAAAAATTTGTTAACACGATAACTTTCAAACAAGAAAAGTAATTCAAAATCTGACTTCGCAGGTTGATTGGGGGTGCCGAGGAATAGAAACCATTAGATTTTGAGCGACTTTGGTTGACAGGGTGAAGTGTCATGTCTGGTGTGATGCCCATGTCCATCCATGGGAAAAATTCAAATTTTCTTCCAAAAGTGATTTTTAATGTATTCTTAAACACTCAAAAATGTGTATTGGGGGGTTTTTGGGTACGAGAAAACCGAATATGACGTTAGTTTTGCGATACAATCAACTTTCGAAACACTTTTCATACAAAAAATTCAAAAAATTTGGATTTTTGTATGGAAGCCATGGGTGTATGATATCGTAATGAGCTGAAACTTTGCACAGGTTATTTTTATCACACATAAATACTATTCCGAGAGTTTGAAGACATTTCAACGAATATTAGGGGCACCTCCCGAAAAATATTTTGGATTTTTCTCTCTAAAACGAAATTTTGTATGGGAAGTACCCTTAATATGCATTGAAATTTCTTCAAACTTTCAGAATGTTAACTTTTTGTGAAAAAAATAACCTCTGCAAATTTTCACATGATTACGATATCATATAGGCATGGCTTCGATACAAAAATTCCCATCTTTAGTAGTTTTTGTATGAAAAGTGCTTCGAAAATTATTTTTATCTAAAACTAAATGTCAGATTTAGTTTTCTTTCATGTCGTGGATCACAGTGCGGAAAAGTTCATCTTACGGATGTAAGACATTTTATTTTTTTTCATAAGCAAAAGTCCACAATAAAAGATCATTCACTTGGTTTGTAACATCGTGGTAGGTAAAATAACTTCTAAAGTTAAGCATAATAATATTCGGAGAGCGAATTTTTTTTACGGGGAGGATGTTATTTTTTTCGAATTTTTTTTTACTGTTGCAAAACGTGTGGTCAAATTATAAAAAAACTTCATGGACTTATCGCAGAGTGTGTCCATTTTTTTTCGATTTTTCGCCTGGTTGGGTGAAGTCATTCGAACTTGTAAATATTTTCGTAAATGACACACGGCTGTGGTGTGTATGCTTAAAATTATAATTGAGATTTTTCTTTATGATGATCACTTGCATATACGATTGAGGAAAACTGGTTTTTAATGCACGATATTGAGTTGAAGTTTGTGTCATGTTGATATGTGATTTATAATTGAACAATTGATTTTTGAGATGCTTAGCAGCACGGAGATTACACAGTGAGTTGTGAATGTGTGGTGTCAGGGACGATATATAAATCGAAAATGAAATAAACAACACATGCGGCACATCTCATCGCTCTGCGTGTACGCAATCTTTTAAATTATATACAAAATGGTCTTCATGTGGGTTACATGTGAAACGTTAGAAAAAAGACTAGGTTGGCTTCGCAAAATAATTATATTTTGTTTGTGCGAATAAAACTAGATATGAAACTGGTTTCCAACGCACATTTCCATCTCAATCTGCTGCTATCGTGGTCGATCATTCGGCGTTTGTACGGTCAAAATTGAATCGATAGTTGTTAATTGTATTACATTGAATTTTGCACGTGAGAACTTTCACTTTGCTCATTGAGCGTCATATCGCATAACCTCTTAATGAGGTGAAGAGAAAAGAGTTTCATTGGTCAAACAGTCGTAATACTGCGTAAGACAAATTGGATATATTTCCATCTTTCTCTATTCATCAGGTCTCTTTCTATTTTATGGAATTTTTCAAACGCCGACAAATCAATAACAATCAAATCAATGGATCGTTTTTTTGTTCCCAATTAAATGTTGCTGATGTTTACATGTATCCTTCAGAATTGTGTACTCTTGAAAAATGTGAACAGTGTCACATCGACGATGCCATGACATATGTATACTATAACGAAATATAGTAGCCAGAACTGTCAGCCATTATCTCATACGTTTCAATTGATATATTGAGTTGTGTGTAAATTTAAAGTTAACCGAAATTACTGAAAAGAATTGAAAATGATAAAAAAATATCACAACAATAAATATGAACGTATAGAAGGAGAGAGGGCGAGAAAGAGAGAGATCATAATTCAGTCGTCAATATGTTTGCGTTAATGTTGTGGGTCGACAACAATACACGATCTCAACACATTGTCTCTTGTGCTTACTATCGCACGTTCGTCGTTCGTTCATTCGCTTCAATTTCCATTCACAGTTTTTCATGCCGAACGCTCAATATTGAATATTTAATAAAGTTAAATTAGTTAAATTAAAATCACTTTCGCAATGCATATGAATAAATACGGACGACAATTTTGCAATGTTGTATTGTGAATTGAAACATTTTTTATTTATTTTATGTGTTATTCTTTGACTTACAACAAATTTTGCTTTGCGTTTGTAGTGGACACAACCATACGTTTGTTGAGATGGCGGCGAATTTACTTGTTGTTTTGATTGTGTGTCGTCATCGATAACTACGCTGCAATCAGTTTTATTAACTGAGTTCATATTTTCAATTTTCATGCAAATGTCTTGATTATTATTTATGCATTTATCACCTTCGGCCATTTTTTTTGTGTTCACTTTATCGGTGTCGGCGTTCGGTTTTATCAAATCCTTTCGGTTGGCTAACTTAACATCCGGCAACTTTTCACAAATGCTCAGCTCACCATTCTTTTCCATAATTTTTATTTGTTTTCTGTTAAAAATCTCTACACTTTTTTCCTCTCTTTCGGAACATATAACCTTCACACGAATCGAAGGTAAAATAATTTAATTCTTTTGAATGGAATTGTGCCCGATCGTGCAACTCAATTTTCAGACTTTGCTTCATACAACTTGATCGGATGCAGATTTTTGTATTAATCAGCGATATACGCTTCAAGTACGTGCACATAAGAGATGTATTTACAACATTTCCAAACTCACTTTTGCGTATAGTCGTTCACTTAATCGATGTCAATTCATTCGGCTCATTTGCTCTATTAATTCAATCGTCACTACAAAAGTATACTGTCATATATATTGTTTCACTTTCAATTGGCCAATAATGTGTCTCTGTTTTCTTTCCCTTTTTTCTCATTCGTTTCTGTACATTTATTTCAAATTTCACTGTACTCTGTTTTGGCCGGGCCAAGAAACCGCGCACGATCTTTATTCCCTTCTCTGCGTGTGTACGTTTTTTTGTGTGTTGTATATCGTTTTTCGTACTTGTTCACTTTACGTATTCGCAGCCTCTGTTTGTGTTTTTTAACATACTCAATTACAAATGAGTTTTGAAGGCAACGCACAACTTTTCTTGTCTCGCTGGCTTTTTGTTTCACTCTCTTTGGTGGAATTGAAGATTTATAACTTTTCGAGAAAACTACAATTTTATATGATTTTCGTAATATTATTGATAAGACAGACGTGTTATTTCTTTTTTTTACACAATTAATTTTTTATTTTTTTTTTGAAAAAAGAAATTCTCTGTGTTTTTTCTTTCACACATTTATTGAATTATTGAGGTAGAGATTAATTATGGAATATTTCACAATCACTTGAGTTCAATTGGAAAATGTTGCAATCGCTTTGATATTGAAACGACGCAAATTTTTCTTATTAGACAATATAGTATTGTTATATTGAAGTTCAGCAATCGTTTTACACGTAACTTGTTCTTAAACATTTACAATCCAACTGAATTTATTTATTTATTCGCTCAAAAGACGAACCTTATTTTCTGACTGAGTGTTCATTTAATTTCCATGTATACATATACGCAGGCAGACAATAAATTCGAACTCTCGCTCAACTACTTGTATGGCTATAATTGTGTGTTAGGCACCGTACAGTTGCGTGATATCACAATAATTCGGTGACAACTCATCTGCACACATTCACAAAACACACTTGTTAAACAACATTCACGCGATCATATGGACACATAAACCATTGAATGACGTATAAATACATATTAACGTAACCTATACCATCGCATTGTTTATTCACATTCACTTCATTTGTTGAGCTGCCACTTAACTGCCAAATAAGGCACTATTACCATTAATGATTCAGAAATTTATGAATCAAGTGGAGGAATCGAACGAACTTTTGCTCATGGGTTTTTCTTTTATTCTTCATCGATTTGGAGTAATGCGACAAATGACGAACAAAACACTTGAAAACTTGGTCATAAGAGTATGACAGAGAAACAAAATGATAAAAGTCAAGTTTAAAGTTGAAATAAAATGATAAAAAGAAATGTGAGATTGAATTTGACCGTCTCCACTTCAAATACTTGTTTTGTACGATGTCTGAACGATAACCGAGAAAAATGATTTTTATTGTTTTGAGGTTTGATCAAAGTTTTTTTACGAAGCATCAGTTATCACGTTCAATACTTGCTCAATGAAAGTAGAAAATCGTCATTGAATGTCTATCAAGTTTTTGAATCGAATTATTTACAATTTAAAATAATTGATGAATTTCTAAATATAAAAAATTCATAGAGAAACTATTGCCACCACGATTCTCATAAGAATTTTTAATGACCGACCATAATTCTTAATGAAGAAACTTTGAATTGCTTGAAATAGATTTGGTCATTTGAGACCAGCAAAAATACTCAAGTATTACGGTTTTTTGGTGCAAAACACAAGTAGAAAACTTATAAAAACCGGTCACTTTGAGATTGAACTTTTTTCAACTGTAAATACAAAATAGCCTGTTTGTGTGACTTTGACAAGTGAAAACTATCTTTTGCTCGTTATTTATAACCGACAACCACTCTTCTACTTTTAAATAACTTTTCTGCCAATATAGAATTCGGTCCTCTTAAGTCCCTTTTTTGTAATATATAAATGACAACAATTTTCAACCTTCGACTCATAAGAACGCTCGAGAATATCTCAATTAGATATTTTCATTTCATTTGAAATTGAAAATTTCGATTCAATTTTTATATGATATTCTGAGACTGAAAATGTGATATAGATGATAAAAAATCAATTTCGCCAAGTGAACACAAATTCCAAAACAGCAAAAAAGATAGAAAATATATATGCGCAAAGATACGATATTGTATGCATGCATACGAAAAGTTTATTTAAAATTGAATATTTTCGTATCGTTATGTGAGATGTTGTTTATCGTTTGTCCTGTTTATTTATGATGTATGTGAAGTTTTTTGATGGCATTTGATGCTCGTTGAAGTAAAAAGACAAACAAATATTTGACTAATTTCACATGTTCATAGCCGTATTGAACTGGATTCCAACTTGAGGCCCGAATCGAATACGGCAAATTACGAAAATAGCATGGCATAAAAACGGTTTTTAAAAACTTTTCAAAATGCATCGTGCATACAAAATCAGGCCTGAATACGTAAACACATACTAAACAATTTTACACTGACAGAGGTAAAAGTTTCCAATGGAAATAATTAATTTCGGAAGTCGTACATGAATACAAAATACTGAAAAACGTCGAACAAAGTACATGCCATTGCGAAGAAAAGGAAAGGAAATGAGATTTTCGTTGGCGTTAAAGAATGAATGGGTTGAAATAAAATGGGTAAACAAATTCGTGCAAAAGCATCGAGACAACGAAGAAATCTTGTATAAAGTGTGTTTTGCTACGATAAGTGCATTGTCAATATGTATATGACGCAGTAATACAATCGATGTTTCCTCGACTTCCTCCCTCCGACTTGTTAAACAACATTCAAGTTTTATAAAAGTTTGCATTCCAGCAAATTTGCAGCTAATTTCACGGCAATTCAAGTATTCAAGTATCCATTCATTCAGTTCTTTTCTTTTCTTGTTCGGATCTGTCGATTTTTTTTTGTTAGAAAATAAATAAATTCGCGTTTATTAGCTGACAGAACATATGCACTTAATTGCACGCCATAAAACATTATTAACCATAAAAAAAATGTATGAGCACAACGTAGCTAGTGTTTGATTCACGTTTGCACTTGAATATTTCTCATAGTTTGACATAAATCTGCGTACGATATTTTCCACATTTGTGTGTGGTCTCACTAAATGTGTGTATGCTTTTTCTGAGCTCTGGAGCAGATTATAAACTTTTTCAATTAGGTTTGGAAACGCCGGATAAACACAACACAACTATACGTATCGAAATGCACATACTGAGATTGCACGTGTGACCGACCAAAAAAATATTAAGCATCGTATACAAAACATACGACGGCTTACTTCTTTTATACGATACCACACAATATTATCGAACAATTTCTATCGAACCAAATTTGACCAAATCTGATCCCTCACAGAACGCTCGGTGTTTGCTTCGTTCGTCGCACTATACCAATCACACCCCCCAATCACATACCAAAAGTTCATACGAATCATGTGCGTATAATGGTCGTATTAAAACGAATGAATAGTTTGTGCTATGTGAAACGTGCCCCAAACAAGGCGAACGAGTAAAAAACACACACACGAAAATTCTCACGTCATTTTTATATTCCAACAACGAGCATTCATCCACATTAAATAGATGCTTTCAACGAAACGTGTGCGCATGAAAGCGGCTGTCGATCATAATGACATCGAATTACATTGGCTTCGACTTGAATCTCTCTCTCTCTCTCCCTCTCTCTCTCTATGTGTGTGTGTGAATGTGTAAAGTTCGGAAATTGAGTGATGGTTAAGTGATTTTTTATGCGACGATCAATGATAAAGTTAACCTTTTATTCGCAATCAATGTAAATTAGTCCACTCAAAAATGTGGAAACATTGAAAAGTGTTCCGTAACCTATTTTCTGCGGCTCAAACTCGAAAATAGTTTTGAAAAATTGAAGTTTTAAATTTATACCAACGACACAAAATGATTGAACTCAAAACTTTATGTGATGCGATAAATTTGGAAATTTTATGGGGATTAATTTCAGCAAACCAGTGTTTAACGTGAAAAGTTAAAAATAGTAGGAAAAGGAAGAGATTGAATTTATATTTTATGCATGAATCATGGTAACTTCATTTAAAACCAACTTCCAGAAACTATTACCGGAGATTTAAAATGGATGATGTCCAAAATAGCTGAACATAAATTTTGGATTTGAAAAGTATGTGATTTATGAATGTTTTTCGTCCTTAATATGAAAGATTATGTTGAGAATCGCACCAATTCCGGTTATTTGCCAATTTTTCGACATAATCACCATCAATGCAATTGAATGAACATATTTACGCCGTAATTGACGACATTAGATAAAAATCAATGTCATTTTATTGTGAAAATGAACCATTTTACGCGAGAAATTGATAGCATCTTATCGTAAGATTTGACGATGTTTCTACATGTAAGAGAACACACCAAAACCAATTTTATGTATTTATATCACGTATTCGAAAATCTCTTTTGCAGCCGGGATAACCGAATTAAGAGTGGAATCGAAGAATAAAAGAATGAAAGAAAGCGCTCACTACGTGAAGTAAACAACAAAATTTTTGCCGTATGTGATTGAGTGTTATGGTGTCTAGGCGCACTTTAACCAAGTCGGAAAATATGTATATGATGTTATTGGCAGCAACGTACGTGTGTCATAAAAAATAATATGCTGAACATCACCTCGAATTCAATACCAAGATGGCACTGGAAATGGATTGATGATTTTGTATGAAGTGAAAAGGAACTTATTTCATTGATTTTAAATCATGTAAGCGGAATGGCATTGAAAGAATTGAGTTTTGTGAATAGCATGTGACGTCATCAATTCTTACTCTCCGTAATTTTGGCAGTATTCAGCATTAAAATCAGATTGCATTCCCTGAATATAAGCACAGCAGGATTTAATGAACCAGAAAATATCTTTATTGAAAGGATACAATTGAAGCAGTGAGGAATGCATCCAGTTGGGTTGGACCATTTTTTCGAACGTCTGATTGAACATTTCCAAAGAACATTCTTTAAAATCCATTGGCATTATTTTAAAATTCAGTGCAAATTTCTGGGAACGCTGTCAACATGGACAAACAACGAACGCAAGCAAAATTACACGAAAACCACACACGACATTCATCGTCGTCAGCCTAATGCCAAATTGCATTTACTTGATTTTGAAATGCTCAACATACTTTTTGTTCCCCTTTTGGCTTCATTTAATGCGAAGCATTCGAAGAAGACATTCAAATCAAGATAGGAATTTCTTTTCACTGTCAAAATTTCACTAGTTTTATTCTCAATTCAAATGCAATTTTGTAAACCAAAACCAACCGTAAAGAAGAAGAAAAACCACCAAAGCAATGAAGTTATTCACAGCCAATCGAGACAATTCCGTATGGACCGGAGTAATTTCTTTATTCAATTTAAGTGCATTCACAAAATGCCGCTAAGGAACTTGTCTCGATAATTTTCTTATTGCATTACATATCTCGTCTAACAATATTTGAAGAATTTGTGCGGCTCAAACACGTTTCTATGGCGAAACAAACATTCTCAACTATGCGAAAATCTGGTGAGCTGCAGTAATTTAATGAGACTATTCACTGTGTACTGAATGTATTGAAAGACAGAGAAAATATACATCGTTAAACCTCAATTCACATCAAGAATGAAGTAGAAAGTAATATAAATTATCACAAAAGAAAGCGGGAATTCAATATCAAGTAAAAACATATGGAAACTTCACTGACACATTTTACTGTCATTTTCTACAAAAATCTTTTATGAATACTTATCGCATGCATGTTTGTGTATTTTTAATTGTTGAATTCGAATGTAGGTACAACTCTGTAATCGTGTGATAATAATTTTGGGTATTTTAATATAACAAAAAGAATTAAGATTAAAAGTAATATGTATTTTCATATATGTATAGGTACTATGCATGTGATATACGTTGTTTGTTCCACTTGAATTTCAACCAACCAAAAACATTCAGATTAAAAAATTTAATCTACAAGTAGAATTATTTTGAAGGACATTTTTTGTGAACTGTTCATTTTTATTTGCACAAAAAATTAGACAATATATTAAGCTGACTGATCATCTCAGATGCAACGAATTAGCTAATTAGTACATTTCCATTTTGTGACAACAACATTACCAATGTACCAATTGTCTGGCTAATTCGTGTAATCTGAGATGATCAGTCAGCTCAAAATATTGTCTGATTGTTTGTACAAATAATAATAATCAAAAGTTTATTTTGTTTACTCTGTTTTTACGCATTTAACTCACTATCAATTTGGCTTTTTCATACATAGAGATTTTGATTTTTTTTATGCAAATTCGGATATAATATCTTGAGCTACTAAAACTTTATGTCAATGAATTATATAAAAGTAGATGCAACTTTCATAAGTAGTATATCTCGATTGGTGAATGTCACCATTTAATGTTTAGGACGATTTATAAAAATAATTAATAAGGGATTAAAATAATGTGTTCAATATCAACAGAGAGATAGAAGCAAATGGCGGTGCCCTTCGTTGGATAATGAAGAACTTTTGATTATATTGCAGTTGTATTAACTGAAAAGATTCGCATAAATAAATGATGTTTTCTTTACAATTCAATCAGTTTTGTTCATCTCACTCTGTTGTGCTCAACTTAAAAGAATACACAATGTATTTTCCGCACATTATCACTTACTTAATTGCAACTTTAGCGATTGAACGTGCCGTAAGTCTAATTTCAAATCGATCAAATCATTTATTCAATATATTTTCAAGTATGTAGTTTTGGGAAATATCATGTTGTTTTTTTAGATATCATTCAATGTGGAGGTAATACCATCGCCAAAAGCATTGGTCGGCGTTCGAGCTCACTGGGATGAAGCGAAGCAAAGTTTATATTATTGTGATGTTTATGGCAATGAATCTTCAATATTGCGCTATGATTACAATGAAAATAAAGTCTATACAGCTGGAATCGATGGAGAATATGTTGTTCCATTTATAATTCCCATTGCAAATTCCACTGATAAATATGCTGTTGGCTTGGGAAAAAGAGTCGGAGTCGTAACTTGGGATGGTAAATCATCGAAGGCAACCCTCGATTCAATTGCATTCGAAGTTGATAGTGATAAGAGTGATAATCGTTTTAATGCAGCCAAAGCAGATCCATCGTGTAGATTCTATGGAGGCACCATGCTTTCAGAGAAAGTTGCTGATCCATCCAAAAGTGCTGCTGGTAAAGTATTTAAATACGAAAAAGGTAATGGTGTCAATGAAGTGTTGGACAACATTTACATTTCAAATGGCATGGCATGGGATGAGAACAAAAATAAGTTTTACTACATCGATTCGGGAAAATTTGATGTTAAGGAGTACGAATACAATCCAAACACTGGAGATATTGGTACGTATCATATTTGAATCAACGTTTGTTCGGGGTATAAAATATTGTTTATTTTTACTCAGCCAACGAAAGAGTCATTGTTGAATATAGTGTGAATGGCAAAATTCCCGATTATCTTCCGGCTGGACTAACTATTGATTCTGATGGCAATTTGTATGTTACATTTTATGGAGGTTCAAAAATACTTAAAATTGATCCAAAGTGAGTAACTTCTTTTGATACATTGATCGTTTTTGTATTGAACCTAAAGATTCATTTGACACAGAGATGGCAAAGTTCTTTTGGAAATTCCATTGCCGGTTAAGCAAGTGACTTCAGTTGCATTTGGAGGACCCAATTTAGATACATTATATGTGACAACTGCTGCACGTGACGACAAAGAATCAGAATTTGCTGGATGCTTATTTAAAGTGACTGGATTGGTGGGTGTTAAAGGTTATCCCGGTGATAAAGTGTGCATTTAATTTGTGTACCATTCATTCCGCCGTGAATAAGAAAGAAATAGCGTCATCGTTTATAAAAAAATTAAAGTTTAAAGCGAATTAAAATTGTGTAATGAAATATTGGATCTGTTAAACTCAAAGTAATGAATATAACATTTAAATGTAGAAAGAATTCGAAAATGAAGGAATTGTATTCATTGTCAACATTTTGTTCATCTTATTCTTAATTCAAACGCAATTTTGTAAACAAAAACGAATCATACCCATATGAAACCTTAACGCTATGCGCGTCAAATCGACGTTATTCGACGCTATTCTATGTGTATATAGAATTGTGCAATATGTTTTACAGTGCCTGCGCCGTTTACTGTGATTGAGTCGCAATTCAATACACAAAACGTAACAGGCAACGCGCGCACATAAACGGAGTTCTGTGTATAAGGCACTGCACTGTAAAACATAATGTACAATTCTATATTCACATGGAATAGCGTCGAATAACGTCGATTTGACGCGCATAGCGTTGAGGTTTCATATGGGTATAAAAAAAAACAAACAAAAGGAATCAAGTTATGTAATTCATATTTGTTTCAGCTTATATTTACAACAACAATAAACGCATTAAGAGACGTTAACACACAAATATCAAAAAAATTGGAGGTAGGTCTTGAAATAGCCGCTTTTGACAATAAAGACACACTCTGATAAAGGCACTAGGGGATCACTATGATTCATTGTGGTTCGGATTGATTCGAAATTATTTGATAGTACTAAAATGAAGCATCAAATCAATTCACTGCAGTAAGTATTAGTAATTTAAACAAATTTATTTTTAACTGAAAAATTGCGATAATTTGATCTTTTTTCGCGTTGCTTCATTTTAATAGAATTGATATGTCTTCCCCTAGCTCGTGCATCTAACCACAAAAAAAAAAGAATCAATGTTGTGAATTATTTTTCAAAGAATACAATATTTTACGTTAATCGTGGCTAAAACTCGTTTAAAAATAAAGAGTCTTACGGGAGTAAGACGAACTTTTCCGCACGGTGGTAGATGCGTATTTTATTAAGCTAGTTCGAAATAATATATTAAAACTTGATTGTATCTCAAATCTAACATCGGACTCGGTTTTCTCGTGCCAAAAAACTCTTCAATACATATTTTTGAGTGCTTAAAGTAAACATAAAGCATGCTATTTTCTATTCCCCGCGAGCCTCAATCATCCTGTACAGTCAGATTTTAAATAGCTTATCTGGAAGTACGACGTGGAAGAGACCCACAACAACCATTCTTAAAACGGCTTGATTTGGGCTCTCTCCAAAACGTCCAGAAAACATGTTTTTGAGATGTCGTAAATTTTGACCCATTGCAATACTTTCCCCTTACACACTCGGTGTGTGCGGAAAAGTAAAATTATCAATGTTTTCGGGCATAATATTTGCATTCAGATTTTTCCATCTCACTAAAGGAACAAGGTAGTACATTCGATTCTATTTAATTCTATTCGCTTCTAAAAAATCCAATTTAATCTGAATTTTATGTGTCTTGGCTTTTGTATTTGGTTCTCATATGATGCACGCCGATCTTTTTCAGTTCAAAATCTGAATATATTCGATATTAACAAAACCAAAGTTTGTTCTTTTTTGTTTTTTTGTCTCTTTTACTCGCATTAAAATGCATATTTAAATTTGACATTAGACTCACCTTTTCACCAACTCCTTTGAATAATTTATTTATTTGACCACAAACCGACTTGAAACCACCAAAAGGTGATTGAATTTAGCTTACACATACAAATAAAATTACTTGATCACATTCAATTTTAATGTAAATACTGTATACCCTTTCCACAAAAATTTGCAAGCTATGATAACCTTTCGTACAATGAACATAGCTTTGTCATATAGTTGGGTTTGAACCAATCCTAAGATTTGTGCTCAATTTTTGTGTACTGATCAAAGCTTTGATTTCTGTTGTTAGTGCATACTGTTCAAGCGATTAGAATTAATTTCAATTTTTGCATCCATTGAAATAATGGAGATTAATAAAGATGAATACGAGATTTCATCTTTGTTTCACAACCTGTTCTATTTCCTAATGCTTTTACTATTGGGAATTGTTTTAGACTGGAAAAAAATAAGAGGCATCTTTGAAAAACCAATTGTATTCACATTTCTATTGCTTTCCATATTCGTATTCTTACAAATGGTAACTTTAACATAATATTCATAAATCATAAATGTTTCAATTAAATCATTTTTTTTTCTTTTATCGTCATTTGTCAAAAGGGTTGCTTCTTATTATTTTTGATGCTTTCTCCATATAAGAGCGTGAACGAAACTTTTGTACATATTAAGAGTGTAACGATTATAAGTGGAATATTTGGACTAAGGTCAATCGGCTCTTTGATTTGGGTGCTGATGCTAAAAGGAAATATTGAGTTATCTGTTTTGGTAAACATAATGGCCCCTGCACTAAGCTTTAGTGAGTTTGATTTATAAAAATCAATAATTAGGTACAAATATAAATAATTAATTCATTTTCATTTCATTCATTTTAGGTTTGGCCTCTCTATATTTTTACGTTCAGAAAATGTTTTCCAGTTCCGTTGAAATGAACAAAATTCAACTTGGACCGAACTCATTAACATTTGACAATAACCTTTCCTTTTTATTTGCCGTTGTTCCGATATGTTTTGGTATTTTTATTGGTTTCTACTTTTCACACTTCGTTCGGCGTTCAATTAACTATTTCAGACTTACTCTGAAAATATTGTTGACAATTATTTTTGTTGCCAACATATTTTTTCATGAATTGATCGATTTGAATTATTATTCGACATTATTCAAAATGTGCGCGACTAAGGTAAACTATTATCGGAAATGAATCGTTTCAAATTTGACTAATCATGAAGATGAAATGAAATTTTAGATTTTTTTGACTTGGTTTCTGTGGCCACTTTTATTGTATTGCATATTATGGTATGTTACACGGATTTTAAAATTAACATTGGAAGACCGCATAGTATTCACGATTTACATTATGGATGCAAATGTATACTTAGGATCTATAGCCAAATTTTATGCAAACTCAAGTACTGCCAGAAAAACTAATGATTCCATGCATTTCTACGAACAAATACATTCTGCATTTTTTGTTATGACTTTTATGATCTGTACAGTACACACTCTTTGGATGTCTATTACTCGTTACACGAGGTTGAATTGTCCCAAATAATAAATACAGAAACGAAATTTATAATATATTATTTTTTCCAAATTGCAGAATTCAAGGTAGACGAACACACACTGATTTGTTGGAGCTTGAAATATACGATTGAAATCCATAGGCTGGATCACCACACTTTCAATTTCATTTGACTTTTTGCGGAAATATTTTTTCATTGTTATGAATTCGTGTATTAAGTATTTTTGCACAGCAACACGGAAAAATTATCAAAACAATAAATCGAATCGAATTCATGGTTGAAAATCAACCACGAAAAATCGAAAGAAATTAAATTTGAAGGAATTTCAATCAAAAGAAGGGTAAAAATGTCTTTAAACTTTCACAATATTTTTTTTATTATGAATTAAATAAACTGTGCAATGTTTTATTGGGACTAAAACTTAATAACGGGAATTTTTTGATGAAATTCAAAGTACTGTCCATCGTTAGCCACTACTTTTTCCCATCTTTCTGGTAGCATACGGATTCCGCGTCGACTCTTCGTCTTTCCATCCATCGACCCAATTTTTGACTTCTTCGAAAGAACGGAAGTGCTGCTCAGCCAGGCCATGTGTCATCGATCGAAATAGGTGGTAGTCGGAAGGGGCATTATCATGATCTAAAATCACTTTGTAGTATCGCTGCTCATATTCCGGCCGTTTATCTCGCAATGCTCGGCTCAAACGCATTAATTGTAGTCGATATAGATCGCCCGTAATGGTTTCACCAGGTTTTAGCAAAATTTTCCATAGTTGAAAAAAAAAATCGTCTGCTCAAGATAAAATATTTGTTTTTACTGTTTTGACAGCTGTTGAATGACACTTTCAAATGACATATATTTCATTGATATACTACGACACAATTACAAGTGGTGACAACTAGCGTCAAGTTCCCGTTATTAAGTTTTAGTCCCAATACATCATTACGATATTATAAAGGCCATCCCATACAAAAATTCACATTTTTAGTAATTTTTGTATGAAAATTGTGTCGAAGATTACTTGTCGTCAGATTCATTTATCTCGTAGATTCAAATTTACAGCAAAAGATATGTAATAAATGCTAATACATGTCGTGCACCACATTGCAGACAAGTTCGTCTTACGGATGTAAGACATTTTATTTACCATGGAAATACATACTCTCGCTTATCGTACTACAACTCAGAAAAACATACTCTTCCATTGACGTTTTCAAGAGATTTAGTTCATTGTATTAATAGATTGCAGTGATACGCATGCACCCAGTTGGCATAGCCCTTTATAGCCCCTTTTCGACTATTTTGCTCCTACCGTTTGCCCATTCGCGGCGTGAAGATAACATCATATGACTTTTGTTGCTCGATATTCTCATTTGATCCCTTTCCGAATCGATGTGTATAATCGATACTTCGTTTCTCTTGCATAATGTTAACTAAATAAATTTAAGAAAATGAAAACTGAAAATAATTCAAATCTCTGGATTTACATTAAACATTTACCCAAAAGAAAATACTGCAACAATGGCGAATTAGGGACTTTTGTTTTGTCAATTCCATGAAGTGCTAGAAAATTCACTATTTTTTCATCCGAAAAAATTTCTTTCAGTAAATTGTCTGGATCGTCGTTCGGATTTTTTATTCTAAAAATAAAAAACAATTTTGAATATATTGCTCGAAGATTTATATGTTTAAACACACACTTCCGGCTTGATTCTGGAGATTCTCCAGTATTTTGAATGTCCTACATAATTGGAAATTATGTTTAAATTAAATTAAAATTTAAATAATTTTTTTGTACACACCTTAGTAATTGTGCCAACCGTCATTCCATCACAAAAAAATGAAATTAAACATATTACTAAAATTAACGGTGTTATTGATTTCATACTTTTTTTTAAAAATAAATACAAAACTTTAATAATAGAATAATATAGTAATTTCACCACTTTTTGTTTTTTTGAACGTATTCAGTTTATTTCGATTGAAATTGAACAATTTTTCATTACAAAAGAAACCGAAATGAAAGCATTATGTGAAACGATCCCAATTTATACTTAGGTTTACTTAAATTTACAAGTGAGTAGAACCATTTTAATCACTAGTAGTCAGAGGAACGTTTTGCTTCGAAGGCATGACTTGTAATAATGTATTTTAAATGTTCCGTAAGTTTATACGAATTAAAACAAAACGATATCTGGTTTATAAAGTTGTTTACCAAGGTTCATATGAGTTTGGACGTATTTCAACACATATCGAAGTAAATCACATATTCAGATATCTTGACATCTCAGCCATTCAGTAAAATTAATTCTCTCTAGCTGTGTACAACTGATTTCGTGTTCATAAAACAATGGAATTTTTACGTACACAGAAAGAAAAAATGTGGTATTTTTAATTCAATTTTGGTAGATTTAATATAAAATTAACCAACAACGAATTAAATTTACCATTTTTGACATCTCTGAGGCATATTTTTCAAAAGTGACTATTTGTTGAATAAACTTTACCAACTGCTTCATTACATTTACCAACTTTTCGAAACCACAGATGACGCTAGCCCATGAATTTGGTGAATGAAATGAAGCAATTGATAAAACTTATTAAACTGATAGTCTCTTTTGAGAAATATGCCTCAGAGATGTCAAAAATGGTAAATTTAATTCGTTTTTGGTTGATTTTATATTAAATCTACCAAAATTGAATTAAAAATACCACATTTTTTCTTTCTGTGTAGTGGTAATTATTAATTTTCACCCAAACAACTTTCAACCACTTATTAATAGAATGGTAAATAGTACTTGAATCTTATCTATTACGCATTTCATGAATTCGACAATTAAAAGTATGTGTGTATTCATCATTCTCAAGCATATTGTAGACAATAACAAAAGAGCAATGCCACTGTTACTTTGCTCTATTGTAAATATCGATGATGCGATGTCATGATGAATTCAGATTTACATTTTGTATTATTCTTCTAGTATGGGGTGACGATATGTATATTTCAGACAATATATTGGGCTGAACCAACGTAAGTGTTTTATAACCACAACAATCACTTCTATTGTTTTATCAAAAATATTATTTCGTTTCATTTTTGGTATATTTTTCAAATACTTTACCTAGGTCAACACCAATTGTGACGTGTATTCACGCAATACAATTGATTTCAGAAACTGACATCCATAAATCAACGGTGAATTTTCACATCTTGGTTAGTTTATTTAGGGATATGAGTAAACAATGAAATTTAATTGCAACTGAACATATCTGGGAAGATTCAAAGCAATGAATAAAGGAACAATTCAAAATTTTCAACAAAATGAGTTAGTTAAAAAAAGCTTCCGTTTATCTACAGCAACTTTGTTCATTGAAAGACACTGAAAATTGAGATTATTTGCAGCCGTTGCCAATTTTACAAACACTTTTACATTTTTTGTGTCTACAAAATAATACTGATAATAACAGAGTCAGTCACAGTGGACGACAGTTGACTTTTAGAACGTTGCTTTATTGCGTCAGTATGAACTGCCGGTTTCAACCATTTTCGTCACCAAATTGATATCAGAAATTTTGATTTTCGTCACTTGACAGCGGTTTTCTATATGATTTTGTTATCTGTACAGTACACAATCTCTGGATGTGCATTAATCACCACATGTGGTTGACTTATTCCAAATAATAATTACGGAAACGTTTTTAATATTATTTTTATTCAAATTGCAGAGATTCATGGCAGACGAATACCCTGTTTTGTATACCGGCGATAATGTTTAATATGAATGCATTCCGCAGAGAATAAAAGAGAAACAGCGTCATCAAGTACAATATTAAAGACGAATTAAGATTGGACCTGTTGAACTCATAGTAATAAATATCACATTTAAATGAAGAAACAATCTCATAAATTTTGAAAATGACAGAATTGTTTTCATTGTCAACATTTTTTTTTACTTATTCTCATTCAAACGCAATTTTGTAAACAAAAACCAACCATATTACCGAAGCAATTTCTTTGTCCAATTTAAGTGCATTCACAAAATGCTGCTAAGGTACTTGTCTATATCGTTTTCTCATTACATATCTCGTCTAAGAATGTGTGCACTTGAAACACGTTTCTATGGTGAAACATTCTTAACAATTCTGGTGAACTGAAATAATTTAATGATAGAAAAGCTGAGATTATGCAATGCATGATGGAGGAAATGTGCATCAATAACTCAAATCTTAAGCTCAACAAAAGAATTTCCAGGAATGTGACATCAATTATATGGAATAAACAAGATAAATTTACAGATCATCAAGTGAATTTTTATGAGAGATACAATATTATAGAATTCGTAATAATGTAATTTCCATCGAATTGCTCATCAAATAAATAAAACAGAAATTGTACATTGAAGATATTCTCAATCAGCTCAAGTCATATATCTCATTGCTATATGTAACATTTTTGAAATCAAATCTGTCAATTTGCGTCAATTTTTATAATAAGGACAAAAATACAAACAATAATTTGGCATATAGTGGATAAAGTAAAATTAATTCTTTTTGAAGTAAATCTATTAGACTTTCCCACATTCGTATTCAAAACATTGTGTTATGAAACTTATTGTTCGTTTTCAGCTTGTGATCTATGACCACCGTTGTTGATGTGTTTTTAATTATTCGATTTGAATACAGGCCCTTTTCCAGTTACATATTTTGAAGGTTATTTTTTGTGCAAAAAATAATCATCAAATTGGCTCTATATATCTCTCTATAGAGATAACTACTATTCATGTTAATTATTCTATTTCTAGGAGGTAGACACCTATGAATCCAGTGTGAATTATTTGATTTCTATGAAATCTTTGATTATTGCGATTTCGGTGATTTCTCGATTCCAAACCTTAATATTGGACATAAAATACACTTATATACAAAGCTAATTTCACTGTGGTAGTGTGCGCCTATAGTAGAAGTCGCACACATAGTGTGTGTGCGGTACAAAATACACAACATTTGACAGAAATCAAAGAAATCACAAAAATTGAATTCAGCGATTTCTGTGATTTTAATGATTTTTGTGATTTCTGTGAGTTTTGATTCCACGTGTCTACCCCCTAGTTCTATTTGCAATAGATGAATTCAGTACGCGTTTGAATCGCTATCAACGTGAGTTTGATATCAGTTATTCTGTTTTTGTTTCTAATGGAATATTTGAATAAATGTGCTTGGGAAGATTTATAAAAATATCGATAACGGATTTAAATTGTGTGCGCCCAGAGTCCGAAACGTCAAGTAAACCACAAAATTATTTTTGCATTTTTCATTTATATACGGATTTTGTTTTTATAATCAAATTTACACTTGCTTTTTAAACTTTTGTAAAGAAACAAATTGACAAAGTTACTTTGATTACCGTTAATTAATGTTATTTTTATAACTGCTTATTAATCAAGTCAGTAACATATGTATAATAATTGAATAAAAAATCTGGTATCATATAATTATCAATTTGCCGGACTGTGACAAAAAAAAATCAGAGACAAATGCCGTTAACCTTCGTTACATAATAAAGAACTTTAGATTATATTGCACTCGTGTCAACTGAAGTGATTCGCATAAATATAAGATGTTTTCTTTTCAACTCAATCAGTCGAGTTTTTTCTATTCACATTGTTGTGTGCTTACATTTTTTGATTGAATAATGTATTTTCCATACATTCTCGCCTATTTTATTGCAGTTTTTGCAGTAAAAAGTGCCGTAAGTATTGATCTAGGCTATTATTTTTATTTGTTCAAAAAAAAAAAATCAATAATATTTGTGACTTATTTGCCGAATATGTAATTCATACTAGGTATCATTCAATGTAGAAGTAATTCCATCGCCAAAAACCCTGGTTGGTACACGAGCTCATTGGGATGTAGCGCAGCAAAGTTTATATTATTGTGATGTTTATGGCAATGAATCTTCAATATTGCGCTATGACTACAATGAGAACAAAGTCTATACAGCTGGGATTGATGGAGAATATGTTGTTCCATTTATAATTCCCGTTGCAAATACCACTGATAAATATGCTGTTGGCTTGGGAAAGAGAGTCGGAGTCATAAATTGGGATGGTAAATCATCGAAGGCAACCCTCGACTCAATTGCATTCGAAGTTGATAGTGATAAGAGTGACAATCGTTTTAATGCAGCCAAAGCAGATCCATCGTGTAGATTCTATGGTGGCACCATGCTTTCAGAGAAAGTTGCTGATCCATCCAAAAGTGCTGCTGGTAAAGTATTTAAATACGAAAAAGGTAATGGTGTCAATGAAGTGTTGGACAACATTTACATTTCAAATGGCATGGCATGGGATGAGAACAAAAATAAATTTTACTACATCGATTCGGGAAAATTCGATGTTAAGGAATACGACTACGATCCAAATACTGGAAATATTTGTAAGTGATTTAATTGAGTCAGCGTTTGTTATCGATATTAAATCATGTTATTCTTTTCATTTAGCCAACGAAAGAGTTGTTGTTGATTATAGCGTAAATGGCATAAATCCTGGCTTTCTTCCTGATGGTTTGACCATTGATACGGGTTAGTTTGTTTTTGATTTGGTACATTTTACCATTTAATTAATTTTTTTGATTATTTGAAACAGATGGCAATTTGTACGTCACATTTTTCAGTGGTTCAAAAATATACAAAATTGATCCAAAGTAAGTAAATTAAAATAAAATTATACTTTCTTGTGTTTAACCTTAAATAAATCGTTTAACGTAGGGATGGCAAAGTTTTGTTGGAAATTCCATTTCCGGTTAAGCAAGTGACTGCAGTTGCATTTGGTGGTCCAAATTTGGATGTGCTGTATGTAACAACTGCCGCGATAGATAACACTGAAGCAGAATCAGCTGGATGTTTATTTAAAGTGACTGGACTGGGTGTTAAAGGTTATCCCGGTGTTAAAGTGTGCGTTTAATTTGATTCATACATGCATAAAGTATATAAAACATGTTTATACAACTAAAATATTTAAATCTGTACCTTGTTCTATAATCTTATCAATGTTGACATGAGAACGGAATAGGTAAAGGAACAGTAAAAGTAATAAAAACAACTTTTTATTAAATATCTATTACTTATTATTTAAACATCGAAACAAAATCATTCATATATAGTTGAAGGTTTTTCTATTCTGTTGAATCAAGGAGAGTGTGGTAATCATTTCAAACTGCACTTTGCACTCTTATTCCCAAACATACAATGTCAAAAGGGTGGTTTTGGCTAACTTTCATATTTTGTTGTTTATTCCATCTTTGTATACAAAATAAGCCTACAAAATTAATTGGTAAACTAAGTAGGTTTCCCCATGTGGTTATGTGATTTATCGATTTTGATGTTCGACACAAAACCAAATCGAACACCAACACAAAAAAAATCAAACTTCGAAATAAATGATCGCTTTGAAAAGAGAGAGTGAGGAAAAAGAGACTACGGTCGATAAAAGTTGAGCATCGTCAATTTCATTTTATTTGAAAAGTTTATCTGGGCAATGTACTTTTTTCCCTCATCCAGATGTGCTATATAAAATGAATCCATGTTGTGCATTGCGCGATGGCAGTATTAAAGTTGGGTCGTTGTCGAAACTTTTGATTAGCAGTAAACGAAATGTGTTTAACAGATAATTCCCAGTGATGATCGTCGATATTATCTGAAAAATCGATGTTTACACCGGTTTCGAAACTTTTCGAATTACATAATAATTTGATGAATTCAAATGAAATCCGTGCAAATGAATTCACTTATGTGATGAATATAACAACAATAACAGTAACGATATAAACATTTGCTATGTGAAAAACCACGCAAACAAAAAAATGTAAGAGTTTTTCCGATAAAACGTTTTACTTCTTTTTTGTTTTATGCCAATGTTATAATTCCATGCATACACATAGCATTCGTTATTGAATTGTGAAAACGCGCGATTGGCGAATCGATACACGTTGGACCGTAAATGGTAATTAAATGGCTGGTATTTGTGCGTGCAGATCTTTTTTGGTTATCCGATTTGTCGGCGTTGTTATTGTTATTGTTGACTTAATTGTTTTCGTCGGCAGTTATGATGCCCGTTGGTTTGGGTTGAAAAATCGAATCACGAATTGAATGAACAATAAAAAAAATGCATGTTTTACTCTTCGGAGAAAATCAGCCACATGATACAACTGTGGTATTGTAAAATTCAGCATTTTGATTCGAATCGATGGATATTTGCTCGATTGCATTTTTAACCATTGACCATACTTTTTGTCGTATATTTCTGTTCATTTCGAAGCTGAACAATTATTTGTGTGTATCATTGGGTGTCGAACGCAAATGGATTCCAAACTCAGTCGTTGAATAAAATGAAATTGATATTATGGAGGCGATACCGTACACATACACACGTACACAATGCACAAATTTGGCAATTTTATTAATTTTAGTAATGAAGAGCTGGAAAAATGCAATTGGTATTTTCATTTGACAATGATCACAACATTATTCATTTTAAATAATGAAATTTACTTCGGTTCGATGTAGTAGTTGCGATATCATTTTTAGAACGGAAATCGAGTACATCGACATCAATACGTCTCACATTCATCGATTTTAAAATAAACTTTTCTTCAATTCAGGAAATACATTGAACGAAGCACAAAATCAAACTAGCAATTCATGACAATGATATATAAGCTGAAAATTTATTTTATGTTTACGCTCAAGGACTCAATATTATTTATCACACAATGACGACGCTTTTATGTTGTGATTGCCATTTATTGTTTGAGCGCTCATGAGACAAAGCGAACAACAAGTCCTTGAAATGAGAAATCTAATTATAGAAAAAATCGAATGAAATGAAACACTGAAATTTATTCAACGATGCATTGAATGTCGAATTGAAAGTTGAGAAATCAAAAACGCATTTTGAGAGAAAAAGAGAAGAAAACAAAAGCTCTTTCAATCAAGTTACAATATTTCAATACCTGCTTGGGAATCGGTAATATTCATTCAATGTAAAATGACAAAGGATGTCTTCATTCCGTATGTGCATTATATATTTTGACAATATGAAGGCAACCAATCAATTGGTAAAATGAACAATTTTTATATGAAGAAATAACATTTTGTGCGCACTTGAGCATTTTGCATTCGATTGAACGATTCAATCAACATACCAGAAGAAATGTGCATACAAGTATATTTTATGGTAACAACCATCGGTTATAAGTATATTTCAAATTCTCGTTTGAAGGAATGTAAAGAAATGAATGGAATGTTTGCAAAATCAAAATGAGTATTCATCGTATTCGGTTGAAAGAGGAAGAGGGGGGGGGGGGGGTGTAGGCGTGGAAGAAGAGAGGATGAAATACAGAAAGAAAATCTTCTCTCTCCGGAATAGCTCATTTTGAAAGCAAAGGAGTGTATCTGAGTGATGTAAATATGCCATATTTTTGTGAGTATGGTTCTAAACCCAAACGTAAAAAGCTTGAAAATTACCTTTCATTTCCATGAATTTTTCGAATTTCCTTTCAACATTTACAGATGCAACAAAAATAGTTAACCTCAATCAATTACCATACTCTTCTACATGCTCTAACAAGCATTTACTATTTTTTCTATGGTGTAGCTGTATTCCAAATCCGTTTCTGTTGTTTACATCAACAAAAAAAATATATTTGAGTATTTTCTCGATGCAATATAGCAGCTTTCAAACGCAATGTAAAAGTCTAATTTGAAAATATGGCATCGTATATCCAGTGTGCACTGAGTGTGTTGGTGTTTTTACGTATTAGCTTGATCCGTATATATATAATTCATTTTGAGCGTTAGTTTTTATCACCTGATTGCAGCTGAATCGAGAATTGTGTGCTATCAAGCTGTCGGACCAATATCGTTCCACTGACCGGAAATGTTGCGCCATTATTTTGTTTCGCACATTTGTTTATTTTGTTAAAACTTAAACAAATACCTTTCCACTGTGTGAAAACTGGAGCAGAAACCAAGCAGAAAAAATAATATCAAATAAGCGAATCAAATGATTCAGAATGCAGTGATTATGTGCATAAAACACCCCGCTCGTTTTTTTCTCTCCTTTCTCTCGTGCAGTAATATTTCAAATATTGAATTATTGTATGGTTTTGCCTCGTTAATAGCATCATCAATGTGTTTGTCGTCGGTAGTGAAGTCAGCAAAAACTGCAAATGAAATTTTCATTTAATGGGAATTAAATGAGCGAACATTTTTTTCCTCTCTGTACCAATCGACGGATTTTTTTTTTATTCTCTTCCACATATAAGTTCGATGATAAATAAATAATTCAGCAAATTATTAATTTGCAGCATCGATGCTCACCATTCTGAGTCATAATCATGGCGGTTTATTGATTTGGTTCTGTGTCTGCGTCATTTGTAAAACATATGAATAACAAAAAAAAAAAGTATTATTTTCGGCGATTCGGCGCTTAATTAGCCGATAATTAGATTGATGTGAAATTATTTGCACCATTCAAATAATGCCTACGCTACCATCAATAGAATTCGATATTATTTTGTATCAGCAACATTTCCAGCTCGAAGAGGAGCGGGGAAGGAAGTGTAGTAGACATTTCGGTGTAACGAGAAAAGCACAAACATGTTGTGCTTACTGTGCTCACTGCCAATGGGACTCATTAAAAAGTTTACGAAATGAGTGTTTCCATGTTGTTTGCCGTTTGTTTTTGTATTGGTCTTGGTTTCTCTTAACTCTTTGAGCCGAAACTGGTATCTTTAGTTTGCCACCATCGTGTCGACCAATGCTTATTTGACTCACTGTTATTATGAACGAACAACACAAAATTCATTTGTCTGCCACTGTTGCCGCATACAGCCATTCAAATAAACCAGACAGACGTATCAATGATGCTGATGTTGCCGTTTGTTGTTTCACATCACCGAGAAGGATGAGATGTTTAAAGTTGAACGCAAAATAAAATTAAATTATCGTCTTTGCCCATAACGGTAATGATAATAAATTGGCCAAGATTTGATTTGCCTGTTGAGTGCAAATGTTTGGTATTTTACGTATAAGTGAGACAACAATTTTCATCCGAAGGAAGTGAAGTGGAGAAAGAAAGACAGAGAAAGTCAATACGATAATGTCTGCATATTCGTAACATAAAGTAAAGTGCCTTGTATCAGTGACCCTCGAAATTATTGCAATAATCGACGTTATATACAATGGAAACCCTCATGACATTTGTAGTAATTGTTCAAATGACATAGGGTCTTCAAGTACGAATTTACTGTGAAATTAATTTAATTAAGTTCAACATTTTTGGAACAAAAAAAACATCGTTTTTTTTTCGTTTAATTTTTTATTCCAAGAAATTGAGAAAAAAAATCTGCATCCAATGTCTGATTCGTTATCAGATACCTGCAAAATTCCATGCATACTCTCATTTGAATTGGAAAAAGAGCAGCTATCGGTTCGGTTTGAAGTTTTTGCCAGGTCGAGTTCGTCCATCACATTCGATTAGTTCGCATATTGATCGAGTTATAGTCAAATTGAACACACAGACCGATAATTGAAACGAATCGCACACAACGTTGCAGATAGAATTTGATTTTCCATTCGTTCTTTTGTTTACCTTCTGATATACTTGTGTGTTAAAGTTTCGTCTTTATTGTTTTACCTTTCAAATCGTTGGCACACCGCAAATGCAGAGAACTTTTGCTCAAATTGTACTCGACAAAGCTTTTGTGTCTTGGTGGACTTTTCTACTGTGTTTCGTTGTGCACAACAACACAAGATGAATGGAAAAAAAAATTCATTAATTGATTCCGAATGTTCGATTGTTTATTGTTTTCTTGTGATAATAAATTGAATTCCATTTGTTTTGTTTCGCTCAGAAAAGTTCACAGCCGCACATAATAAATGGGAAAATTACTCTCTTGCACTAACTTGGTCTCTCTCTCTATTTTTCGTTGCGTTGAAAGTTTTATAGAAAATAACGTAGTTTCCAATTCAAACACTTGCCACTTACGTAAGTTACGCAAGAGTGGTTTTTTTTTTGAGGGAGCAATGTATGTGCTCGCCGAGCGCGTCCAATT